AAGAACAGAAATCAATCAAACTTTGTTTTCCTATATTTATTTAGAGAAACTTTTATACAAGAGCTCAATTTCGGAAAACTGTATGATTGACGCAGCAAAGGATAAATAAGAAGCATGACCACAAGTCACTGGAAAAAGTTAATCAAATTAAAGACACAGAAAACAGTTAAATTATGGGTGATATATTACAATAGGTGGTAATTTTAAATTAAATAGATGGATCATTTTTTGCTATACTTCGCACAGTATATACAATTTATTTTAAAAGCCAATTTTTTTAAGCAAGAGTGTAAAATTTGAGTTTTTCAATAGCACTTTATCTGGCAGAGTAATGTATTTGCAAAAACAATCTTAGCAGCATGTACAATTGATTGAAAATGAAATGACTATATTATGCAATACAGTTCTATAATTTAATTCATGCACTGCAGTTAAAATTACCACCTATTGTAACATATCACCTTTTAATAACCTAAAATATTAATCATAATTTTGTATCGATTACTTTTTTTTTATCAATTAGACTAATTTATGTTGCCTTCGAAGAAGTTAATTTATGAAAAACAGTCATTTTATCCCCCTCCCCTAAATCGATTGGGGGGTGTTTATTCTTTTTTTGAATAGTAATTTCTCTATGTCTGAAGCTCAATTTCAAAAAATTATATAAATGACACAGATCGGCGCACTTTGCAATAAAAGCTTTTGCATTAAAACAACGGCGAAGCTGAACTTCCGTCACTTGCGATGCAAACATGACTACGATTAAAAAGCAAATAAAAAATTTACAACATAGCCAATCGAAGATTGGAAAAGAGTATTGAACGCAAGTAAACATAAAAAAAACGTTCTTGAAAAAATCTCAACTTTCGAACTTCAAAGAAAAAAATAGATGCCCTTTCAGCTCTTTGAATTTCTAGAACAATTTATGATCGGCGCTTTTCTAATAACATAAACCCAACGTGAGAAAATTGGATCAACAGGTAAGTTTTTTATCCCGTTTGAAATCTAAAAATGAAATTCAACTTTCGAAACTAGAAATCATTCACGTTTTTTCTGAGCCATTTATACGTTCGTATTTCCACGGGTGCTATTTACGTCACTTTCATCATATGCATTTCAATTGAACTTAAAAGTGCATATATACCTAAGTGCATCAATACTTTGAGACTTTTTTCCCGAAAAAAACTAAAACAAAAAATCAGCAAGACCTATTTAAGACTCTTCACTACGTTCATTACTCTTGAAAAATCAAAAAAAAATCGCAGAGAAGAGGCCAATCTTTAAAAATAAACATTTCCCGCTGAAACTATGCTGACAAAAATCAGCAGATATAAGATAGATTAAATTGCCGGAAAGTTTTAGTTTGCAAACAAAACAGGTCCAGACTGGAAATGAACTCAGGGTTTCCTCGTTTCAATCATGGGTGTTACCACTGCGCCAAAAGTGCAGAATACTCCTTGAATTTGAATTAATAATAAAGTAAGTCAGCATTTGTAAAATTTTCATGCGCGAATCCTGTTAACAAGGGTAATAAGCACAAAAGAAACAAACTGGTCGCTGCACAAGAACATAAGGTTCCGATCAGAACAATTCATGAACAAAAACTTAAAAAGAAGCGTTTTCTCTAATTTTCCACAAGTAGAAGGAATGCACAAAAAATTCTATCCAAAAGTGAGTAATGACCGTCCAAAAAATCTTAACAGCTGTAAGTAACAGCAAAAGGAAGTTATTATCCACTAGCCTGCAGTAAGTTACAATAAAATCATCACAGAGGCGAAACTGATTTTCACTCCACTAGCAATAAAAATAACTAAGATAAGAACAGCATGACGCTCAAGAAGTAGCAACTACAATTTCGAAGAATGTAAATGGAATTATTAAAACATAAAAAAACTGGTGGTATGGGGCCACGAGTACTACAACACAAGAACAAAAAAGTTTGAAATGGAATTGCCCGTAGTATCTAACCGACCTTGCATTCTACCGGAACCCATCTCACAACAACAAGAGCTTCTATTTGAAACTAAACTCAATCCGCAATGTATAATCTTAGGAAGTTCATGTAACAACGAATAAGGTATCGAAAAGGTCTATTTCTTTCAAACCCTTCGTGCTTTGTCTAACAGAATCTAGAAACTGAGTTCAATCTCTCTTCAAGCCATTCGTTAATGTAAGATCAGCTTTGTTTGAAATTCGAACGCTTTAACCTCACTTCATTTACCTCCTATTTTTACACGCCCCTTTTTTATCATCCGATAACATAATAACCACCTTCAAGTTAACCCCTTTTAATTTTGAAAATTCGCTGCGAATTAAAATTCTTCTCAAACCAAATAGTTATCAAATTGAGTATACTGATTGACGCCAGATGAGTATATAACTCACTTGATGCACTTAGTCACACAAAGATGATTGCGTTTCAGTTAGCAATAGAAATAGTCGCTCACTCAAGCTTTTGAAGCAGATAACGTCTATGGTGCTCAATGAAGGCATCATGAGACGTTTGTGGATTTCAACTGAAAAAATACTGCCTTACTTGATAAAAAACAAACACTTACATCATTGTTAAATAATTCTATCATTATAATAATTGAAGTGTTGGTGTCCAAGAAAAACAAATACTTAAGGTATCAGCCCACAAGGACTATCTAAAACACTCGAACAAAATAACTGCCATTTGAAATTGCTTATAGTATAAAACACAAATGCCGTGAAACAACAATTACGAAAGACGATATTCTTGAAACCAGGGGTGAACATTATCACGACATTTTCACGAAAAGAAACCGATGAGACTAATTTCAAAAATATCAAGTATTTGAGTTATAGTGTTATCTCTACAATCGATTCGCGGAACATTTTGCCATTTTGCCACGCATTTAGCCCTACCAGCAACACAAACAATAGTTCAAACTTCTAAAAACACATGAGCAAGCCACGAGAACAGGATGTACCAGTCTCTCAAGCAACCAGCAGTTTCAAAACATCTAAACTATTAGATATTTATAATAAGGTCGACAGTGGAAAAAACCTAATGAAGGTCGCCGAAAGAAATAAGTTCGCTCAGCGACCCTAAAAAGTTAAGCATACTAGAAAAATTTAACTTTGGTTGGCTGACGGCATTTTCTTAAAACATTTTATGAACTTTACTGCGTGCAAGTAAGTCTGTCAAAAAGAGCACCTGCTTGAAAATTTGCGTTCTTGCAAAAAAGTGAAAAGCCCTGAAAATACTACACCCTGGCAGTAATAGAGAAACAAACCAGTCCAAGCTGGCTGGGCGTTTTTTTGTCTTCTTTCTCAAATGCTTCGCAAACACAAGCGAGAAAACGAACTTATCAAATGAGCTGAGCAAAATTAGAAGTAGTTCACCAAAATGTAAAATTCTTGCCAAGTGTCGGATTCAAACATGCAACCTCGAGATTGGGAGTCTCACGTTATTGAATTTGTGCCACGGGCCATTGAGATTTGCTAACACTAGTCACCAATGATGCAGCTATAGATGCTATAAAATTGCTGCTAAGCACGAAGTTGAATCTCGGACAAGTAACATAGGAATGTTAAGACCTTCCCTCTGAGCAACGGACACTTAGGTTACGGCAAAAACTAGCCATGAAAGGGGCCATGAAAATTCCAATGCTACAGATCGTGGCTATAACAAAATGCCACCGACCGAATGAGCGCTTTTATTTGCCAATTAGGTTGAAAAAGTAATTTAGTCATACTAATACACTACGCTGGCTAGTGTAAAATAGGAGTATAAATAAAACCAGGGGCGGATTAGGGGGGGGGGGGGGCGGACGCCCCCCCCCCCCTCAGGGATTCCACCCCCTGCCGACCCAAAGGGTCCCCCCTTTGATACTTTTTCAGAAATCCACTTTTGGCCGATCGACCCTAAAATTTTTCTAAAGGCGCCTTCGGCGCCAATATATACTAATTTTTGAAGGGGAGCGCGCGCCAAAAAAAAACGCGATTTTTTTGTCAAAATTTTTCAAAAAGTGCCCAAAAACGGCTTCTTCGACTGTTTTTTCAAAAATTTGCCTGCGGCGCAGAAAATTTTGCCAAAATAGGCGCAAAACAGTGCTTTGGAGAGAGCTCGAAAAATTAATTTGGTCAACCTAAAAAAAAAAAAAAGGTCGTCAAAAGTTTGGAAAATTTTTTGAAAATCCGACCCCCCCCCTCGAGAAAATCCTAGATCCGCCCCTGAATAAAACCCTCTGATTTACCCGCAAATCAAAAGCCGAACCGCGAAAAACAAAAATTGAGCGAGAAAAGATTTTCTTTAAAAAAAAACAAAAAAAGATAAATCACTAAGACCTATATAAGGGTACTCACTACGTTTATTACTGTTAAAAGGCTCGTCCAAATCGAGAGGTTCTATTTTCCCTTCACTATGGAATCAAAGAGACGCTGCATCATCCGGCTGGGCCAGAAAAACAAATGCAGTTGAACATTATAACATATAATCATATTTCAGTGGCACGCATCCCAGAAAGATGAAAGTAATTTCAACTTGCAAAAACACGCCTCTGTTCAGAAATTCAATTTTTATAAAGCCTCAAGTGGGCCACGCGTTAAAAAAAGAAACAATACCTGATTCAACTGAGAAACTATACATAGCTCATTATTTCTTCCCAGTTCGTAAGCTGGATAACCTTACTTTCAAGATGGAGTATTTCCAAGCAGTGTAGCTCATGTAGGTAAAGACAAGTAATATTACATGATTTTAAATCATTCTTTTTTAAAGAATGCGTTTAGAAAAGTTTGCGTATGATAGTGTTTTTAGCCGGCTGTATCCTTATTTCAAATAAAATGCTTTAAAACATGACCTTTTTGAAACATTTTCGATAAATAGTCTTCATTACTTTCAGTACTATTTTGTTCTTTTTTTTACATACTAGTTGCAAAAATTATGTCTTTACACACCAGTGATCATTAATTCAAGCTCCTTTTCCGGCTTTACTACTAGACCACCATCGATCAGCAGCTATAAAAAATATTACCAAGTGGTGCAAGATGAGAGAGTAACAAGACCCTTCCGGCATCGTCCAGATATCCCCCCGTTCCTCCTCGTTTTCCTCGACTGATTTTCCATTTGATGCGCGGAAGAGATGGAAAGCTAGACAAGGAGAGCTTAATTAATATTCATTTTTATTCAAATTAGAAATTTAAACCTTAGCGTGAAACTATAAGTTATTCTACTGTAAAAGAATAGCCCGCCGTTAATCCCATCGCGCCACCCCGGCTTCTTCGTGTCATTAAAAAATTGGAAAAACTAAACAGGTCGAATGACAACTAAGAAGCATCGGATTTGAAATAATCTAAGAAGATGACAAATAATGGAACGTTTTTATTATGAAAAATCTATAAAAACTTCTAGTTCAAACTTGCAGCTCCATAAAATAATCAATTTCAATGTAAAACCAAAACAATCAATGTAAAAAGTAAAGATTTATAGATTGTATAAATTTTAACCTGCTAAGATTTTGTTGAACATAACACGCTTTGGCAACTTGTCCATTTTTGAGAGATATTTCTTTTCGATAACATCGCTCAACATCGTGGTATCAATTTGCATCCAATCAACTCTGCTTTCATCCGATTCCGTTTGCTCAGAACCGAACGTTCCGAGCAGTAATTTCAGGTAGGTTGCTAGTTTTGAGAACCACAAGTATGATATAGATGAGACACGTTTCGCGAAGAGCTCATGCAAGTCCGCCACTGATTTTGAGCTCAGGTCGAAATCCGCCATTCTGTACACACTAAGAATGTGCCACAGATCCTTGGTATGCGCACCTACGATAATTAAACAAAAAACACGATTCAATCATTTCATTCACTTTTAAACCCAAGGAAAAAGCAAAGCGGTTTTATTCATCTCACGAAATGAAGGTTCCGGAAAATCTAGAACAGCAGCTAAAGCTGCTTCTAGCAAATCATTTTGCAATTTTACTATAACAATTATCAGCATTTCTCTTGATATCGATAAAAGCGACAAGAAATTATGACGTACGGGAGCAAATAATGCGTGGGAAGGCATTTTATTGACTCACAACAGACTGACAAAAAACATGTACATTGGCCGGTATGTGTGTCAATCTCCGACAGAAATATGATAGCCATTTAATGATCATAGCCAGAATACAATCGCAAAAGTGTCAATGAACTAAAAAAAGGAAAAACCTTTGACTTTTTTGAAGAAATTTCAACTTTCGAGTTTCAAAGAAATATATATATCACCATAAAAAACCTCGTTGGACTTTCCGAAATTCTTGTCATATACACTTTTTTGATAAAAAAATAACCTAATTGAGATATTTGGGTCGATAGGTAACTTTTTTATTTTAGGCAAATTTTTAGCGTTTTTAGGCAAATTGAACTTAGGTCATTCAACCGCTTAATTTGCTTTCCTCGTTAATCAAAAGTTCGACCGCGAAAAATTAAACTCGAGCATGAACAAATTTTTCTAGAAAAAAAAATCAAGAAACCACAAGACCTAAATAAAAGAAAACAAATATTTGAAAAAATAAAAATGTAAGATAACAAAAATTTCTAGTTTCTTTCGGATGAAATTCAACTGGCAAAAAAAGTCAGCAGGAAGTTGCCGTACTGTCATGTCAATAAACTGACAAGATTTAAGACTTATTCCTGAAAAAAAAACAGAAAATTACCAAGACCTATATAAAGAGTATTCACTTCTTTCATGACTCTTGAACATCTATACAACACAAATGTGTCAATCACGCAAAAAGTAGAACAGAGCGATGCCACAAAGAACAACAGGAAAAATGAATTTACAAGGCGAGTAGTGTGGTAATACAACTCAGGCTCCGCTCATGTTCTCATCCCCAGGAAAAACCCAGATATGGGATTCAAAACAGCTATTTAAAAACATGCCAGCCTTATTCAATTAAATAGATCGCTGATCCTGTTTGATAGCATTAAAAACACAAGAGTATTGCATTTTAAACACAGAGGTAAAATTGAACTTCGCATACACAAGCAAAAATATGACCGATAACGCTACTGGGAAAAACTGAATAAGTAAAACTTTGAGTCTACAAAATTCCTTAAATTACGCACCCCAATTATGAGTCTACATAATTGCTAAGTGATGCAAGCTTGTTATGACGCATTAGCAGTACCACTCAATTTGAAAAAAAAATTACCAACTAACAGGCCTCAATTTATAGAGCGGACGCATTTTAACTAGTATACGAAAAAGTTCATAACAACATCCGACCCTGCCCAGGTTCGAACCCTCTTATTTTGATGCGTGTCTCCTTACCTACCTCTACGCTACTGATTCACGATACCTAGAAGCTAAAGTGTTATTTGTAATATAATAAAGTGTTAAAATCCTTAGCATTGGCTGTACTTAATAGCAGGTTATTGAATTTATACATTCTGCAATAAAAGAACACTTTCAAAACGAACACTAATATTTGCGCCTTAGATTAGAAAAAGGAGTTCATACTATCACACAATCTTTGCTTGTGTAATTTAGAGGAAGGTAAAAAGTAGGACTTTCACTGAAGAAAAAAACTAGACAAAAATTTGATCAAAATAACATAGCCAAAAATAAGGTGGAAAAAGTCTACAAAAACAAAGAAATTTAAAAAATGATTGAAAATTATTGAAACTTTTTCAACTTTCAAATTTTGAAAAATAATAGTAAATCAAGTTAACGCTCTTTGCCCAAATGAAGAATACTGGAAAAATGGGTATATTTTTTATTCAACTGAAAAATCTAAAAAAAAAAATAAAACGCATTTTCGAATCTACAAGTCGTTCAATTTTTTTTGCGCCAGTTTCGATTTCGTAATTGTAGAGCGCAACTTACTTAACTTACAGATTAATTTGAAAAAAAAAAATCAAACAACCACAAGACATAAATACGTGAAAAATGTGGTTTTAAAATGTCAAAAATATAACACACCAAAAGTTTTCTACGTTTCCATCAAATGAAATTCATTGGCAAAAAAGTCCGCGGGAAGTTGCCGTACTGTCAATAAACAATTAAATAGATCGAGATTTTTTCAGCTTTTTGATTTCGAAGAAAAAATGCATCACGTTAAAGCTCTTCGAATTTCAATAACAATTTCATGACTGACTCTTTTTCTACATAAAAGTAATCCACCTAGACAATACTGAGTCAAGAGAATTTTTGTATGCTGCTGACAACAAAAAACCTATTTTAAAAATAAAGCTCATTCACATTGGTTTGCTTGAGTCTCCACTTTTGTTATCAGAGAGCACTGTGTCGAAAATTCAAATGTGAGCCTCGAAAATTCAAATGTGACCGAGAACAATTTAACAAACTTTTTTTCATGCAAAAAACTGCATGACCTAAAACATAGCCAACTGAAAGTTGGAAAAGAATAATGAACGCAAGAAAACTGAATAAAAACTTACTTTTTTTTCAAAAACCTTCAACTTTTGGATTTCGAAGAAAACAAATAGATGGCTTTAAAGCTCTTTGAACTTGCAGAACAAATTTTAAAGAACAATTTTTTGTTAAAATTAACCCAATTTGAGAAAACTGAATCAATAGGAATCAATAAAAGTTAAACTTTTAACTTTTGCCTTCCTTTTAACAATGGAAATGCATTGAACTTAAAAAGAAATCAGAAGTCAAACCGCGAAAAATCAAAATTGAGCGAGAACAAATTTTCCTGAAAAAAAAATAAAAATAAATAAAGAAAATCTATGTAAGAGTACTCACTACCTTCATTACTCTTCATAAGGGATAAATCATTTCGTTCATTAACCCTCCTTTAAATTTAGCAAGAGATTTCTTCAAAAAAAGACGTAAATGCATGATAATTCAAGTTCATTTCATTCATCAACAAGTGTTACAAATCATCAACAATCACTAAAGTAAAATAGCATTTAGACGAAATAAACCAAGCCCTAGTAACAACAACATCGCCAAGAAAAGGCCCGTTGAAACGAAAAAAAGTGTGACCATAACAAAAAAATTGGATTTTTTAAAAGCCCCTGCGAAACACATGCACATCTATTTTTGTCAATCAAAATACACAACGTTATGCCGACCATACCGATCAAAAATAAGCAGAAACAGAAAAAGTAAACAGAAAAAAACTAGTGAATTTCTGAAACAATTTCAATTTTCGAAGAAAAAATTTACTCCCTTCAAAATCTTCGATTTTCTAGAACCATTTAGGATTGGCGCTTTTTGAAAAAAGTAACCAAACTTGAGAAAACTATCAATTATTAAAATTTTTATTTTGCTGGGAAATCTGAAAAACAAATTCCACTTTCGAAACTAGAAACCGATCACGTTTTTCGTGATCTTTACACTTTTGCGGTTCGATAGTGGATTTTTCCTTTCTTTGAATAGTAGAAATGAGCTGAACTTAAAAAGAAATTGAAAGTCAAACCGCGAAAGAAATTGAAAGTCAAAATTTTAGCACTTTTCCTGAAAAAACAAACGAACACAAAATTCATCGCGACCTATAAAAGAGTCTGAACTACGATCATCCAAAAGTTGTTAAATCAGAAGAAAAGTCAGAGAAAAGTTAAATCAGAAGAAAATTGAATTTAATAAAACTTTAATTCCAGATCAATAGTTTCAAGTTTTAATAAATAGTATTACAGAGGTGAAGCGGAAAACTTCGCATCACTTGTGATAGATCTTATTTAGAGCAGGACAAACAAGCTAGTCGACACAAAAGGTGCAAGTCAAAAAACGGTCAGAAACGATCGCAAACTAGGCCCATAAAAATAAGAGATTTGTTATGAAGAAAGCTCGACAAAGAAAACAAACCGAGAAACAAAACAGCCAGTAGTAAGTAAAAAAGCATTGAAAAAAATCTGAATCAGTAACTAAGCCGATTAAACTTGGGTAGACGCTCGTAGAGTCGAAAATATCTGTCATAAAATTTCAAGCTACAAAAAAATTTCTTAACTCGAAGTTTTCAAATTTCACATTACCCTCTTACGCACGCGATGGAAAAAATAACGATGTCATTCAAACAACAAAAAGCGGTTAAACACATATAAAAGTAGCCGGATCCTTTATTTACGCTAGAACTGTTTCAAAGGAAAAAAGGAAAGTAGATAAAATCTGAGCTAATTTACAACCAACATGAACGCAAACATTGACGAGATTTGAGACTCAAAATACTGACATGCGGAAAATATGTACGTGAAGTCACCCTCTCAGAATTGACTAATTCTTACAAAGTTGTAAAATGGCAAAAAAATAAAGTTCCCGATTAAAAGACACATGCTCTCGCAAGTATAATATGACAAACAATTTGACCTCAGATTCAGTGAAAACAAGGAGACCTTTCAACTAATGTTGCTAAGCAATTTGGCAATGACAGATGTAAAAAATATCAATCATTCAATACCCATCGTAACTTGTTAGGGTGCTTTTTAACGTTTCACGAAACTCTTGAGCGAAACTTGCAACCTTTGTTATCTGAAAACAAGAGCAATAAAAAGAACACCAAAAAATCAAAAACGAAGCAGTTAAAGAAACATAGCCAACAGAGAGATGGGAAAGAACGCAAGGAAACGAAAAAAATCCTGATTTGTTTTTTGTAAAAAAAAAATAAACTTTTACTTTCGAACTTCAGAGAAAAAAATAGGGCCTTGCAGCTCTTTAGGTTCCAAGAACATTTAATGATTGACACTTTTTGATTTAAAAAAAATAAGCCAAAGTGAGAAAACTGGATCAATAGGTTAATTTTTTCCACTGGGAAATCTGAAAAACAAATTCCACTTTCGAAACTAGAAACCGATCACGTTTTTCGTGATCTTTACACTTTTGCGGTTCGATAGTGGATTTTTCCTTTCTTTGAATAGTAGAAATGAGCTGAACTTAAAAAGAAATTGAAAGTCAAACCGCGAAAGAAATTGAAAGGCAAAATTTTAGCACTTTTCCTGAAAAAAACAAACGAACACAAAATTCATCGCGACCTATAAAAGAGTCTGAACTACGATCATCCAAAAGTTGTTAAATCAGAAGAAAAGTCAGAGAAAAGTTAAATCAGAAGAAAATTGAATTTAATAAAACTTTAATTCCAGATCAATAGTTTCAAGTTTTAATAAATAGTATTACAGAGGTGAAGCGGAAAACTTCGCATCACTTGTGATAGATCTCATTTAGAGCAGGACAAACAAGCTAGTCGACACAAAAGGTGCAAGTCAAAAAACGGTCAGAAACGATCGCAAACTAGGCCCATAAAAATAAGAGATTTGTTATGAAGAAAGCTCGACAAAGAAAACAAACCGAGAAACAAAACAGCCAGTAGTAAGTAAAAAAGCATTGAAAAAAATCTGAATCAGTAACTAAGCCGATTAAACTTGGGTAGACGCTCGTAGAGTCGAAAATATCTGTCATAAAATTTCAAGCTACAAAAAAATTTCTTAACTCGAAGTTTTCAAATTTCACATTACCCTCTTACGCACGCGATGGAAAAAATAACGATGTCATTCAAACAACAAAAAGCGGTTAAACACATATAAAAGTAGCCGGATCCTTTATTTACGCTAGAACTGTTTCAAAGGAAAAAAGGAAAGTAGATAAAATCTGAGCTAATTTACAACCAACATGAACACAAACATTGACGAGATTTGAGACTCAAAATACTGACAAGCGGAAAATATGTACGTGAAGTCACCCTCTCAGAATTGACTAATTCTTACAAAGTTGTAAAATGGCAAAAAAATAAAGTTCCCGATTAAAAGACACATGCTCTCGCAAGTATAATATGACAAACAATTTGACCTCAGATTCAGTGAAAACAAGGAGACCTTTCAACTAATGTTGCTAAGCAATTTGGCAATGACAGATGTAAAAAATGTCAATCATTCAATACCCATCGTAACTTGTTAGGGTGCTTTTTAACGTTTCATGAAACTCTTGAGCGAAACTTGCAACCTTTGTTATCTGAAAACAAGAGCAATAAAAAGAACACCAAAAAATCAAAAACGAAGCAGTTAAAGAAACATAGCCAACAGAGAGATGGGAAAGAACGCAAGGAAACGAAAAAAATCCTGATTTGTTTTTTGTAAAAAGAAAATAAACTTTTACTTTCGAACTTCAGAGAAAAAAATAGGGCCTTGCAGTTCTTTAGGTTTCAAGAACATTTAATGATTGACACTTTTTGATTTAAAAAAAATAAGCCAAAGTGAGAAAACTGGATCAATAGGTTAATTTTTTCCACTGGGAAATCTGAAAAACTAAATCTCTCTTTCGATAATAGAAGTCGTTCACATTTTTTGCGCCAGTTTCGCTTTCGCAATCAGAGAGAGAGAGAGAGAGAGAGAGCGCAATTTATCTAAATTATAGAAGATGAATTTGAATTCAACTCACAGAGTTCATATATACCTTAAGGCATTCATAAATACGTCAATCTGTGTGAATCAACTTCTTTCGTTGTTAGAGCATTTTAGACTTTTTTCCTGCAAAAGAAAACAAAAAATATCACGATCTTTAAAAGTCAAAATCATTCACTTGAACTTCTACTTCATAGAGCATAGCCAATCGAAGATTGGATCAGAGTAATGACCGCAAGTCAACATAAAAAACTCTTACTCTTAAAAATTGCGTTCATTACTCTTAAAAATGCGTAAATTTTAGCGCTGAACAGGTAAATGTAGATATTTAACAGATGCGTGTACCAAAAACAGATAGAGGTAATCATTTTAGGGCAGGTCGGTAAATAGTGAATGTCATGACATTTTAAAACAGCCAACAGATAGCTGGAACTAAAAAACGATAAATATGATCGAATTATTTAAAACTAATTTTCAACTTCTAAATTTTGGTTTAAAAATTACCAAGTAATAGCTCTTTGCATTTCAAGAATCTTGTATAATAGTATTTTTTTCTATGAAGATGACTATTGGAGAACTCTAGATCAATATTTAAATTTTCAAATCAACAAAAATTAAAACCCCTTTTGAAGCTAACAGTCATTTTGCTTTCCTCACAGTTAAAGTAATTTGCATTCCTCTTAGCAAATGAATTTAAATCGAAGTAAAGGAATCAAACGTCAAACCACTTAATTGAATTATTTAACAAATCGTGAACAACTTTTTCTTGTAAAAAAGTCAACACGACCTATATAAGCGTCTTCATTACATTCATTGACATTTAATTATGATGATACAGGATTCATATTTTAAAAGAGAGAGTTAGTTTGCTGTAAGTTTTCCCTTCTTTCAGAAGCATTTTAGACCCAAATAACTGCGTGGATTCTTTCTTATAAGCAGAAAAAGGCCGAGTCTATGCTTCTTCATAGCTATCTTATAAATCATCTACAAGCCAAAAGACTGATTAGCATTTGAACAACCTAGTTTTGACACTCTTTATTGAATTGCATCACAACAGAACAGTATTCTTTATCGTGAATGCCCCGTGACTGTTAAATTGAAAAAGAAGGCAACTTAAATGAAGTTGATTGAATTTTTTGATTGACTTATTTGTACCTGCGGGAGACAAATGAAGCAGCAAAAGAGCAGCGGCTGTAAAATAACTTCCAAATTTTGCCTCCATTGTCTTGATAAATGACTCCAAAAGAGCATTCACAGTTTGCGGAAGGGCCTTGATCCTCGCATTCAGCTGAAAATAGACCAGACATGGTAATCATATAACCTTCCTTCCTTGTAAGGACAAGATTGATATAACAATGAATTAAGAGGATGCTTTGAAGGTAACCTGAAACCCATACTATTTTGGAAAGCAATCAAATTAAATGCACCACTGAATCCAATACTGAGTCAACCGGATACTTTGAACTCAGAAAATCGTCAAATGAGCGACCTTGAAAATTTGTCCAACTGATCACCGCAATCAGCTAAAAAAGATTTTCAATCTAACTTCAAATCGGATTATTGAAAGTAGGTTCGTGTGAAGTAAAGTCTCTTGAGCTGTTTTCTCTTGGGGGCAATAATTGGTTGAAATTTCTATACCGTCAAAAAAATAGGATTGACATTTTCAAGCTACTCGGTGAGGGGCTAAAATGGGACAGAATCAAAAACTGACTGTGACAAAATAAAAACATCAGTACGTGAAAAAAATGACTAAAAAGTACAACTATACGCTCATATCAAACAGTACCTCTATTTCCAGGCATACAATTTTTGAAATTTTGCAAACTGGGTTTTTCAATATGCTATGGAAAAAAAGATAAAATTACTTAGATAGCCGGTTGCTGTGCAAGAAGCACAAAAATTCCGAGAGTTATTTAAAAAGAGGTTTTCAAAATTTTTTTTTTCTATTTAGGCCGTTTTTTGTTCGCCATTGGAGAAAATGAATCAAAAAAGAACGCTCAGATAGCATTGGCCTCAACCGACTACGAAAAACAAAAAAAAATCAAACACAATTTTTTCTTAAAAATAAAGTTTTTTTAAACAAATTTTCTAAGTTTTAAATGCCAAAAAGGCGCAGCACAAATCTTCACAAATAATTTTTTTAAATAAAACTAAGTTTTCCATATCTAAAAAAAACTTTCATATAATGAACGTTACTAGCTCATTGTACTCGCTTGACGATGAAAAAAGCTTAAATTTGAGATATCACTCACCGCTGTAGATTCTCCTGTACATGTGTACTCTATACTGTTCAAAAAAATGTTTCTGATATGATTTTAACACAGATGGTAGTTTAGTGCAAAGTTAAGCGGGGTTACAATAAAACGTTTTTTCATAAAGGAAGATGCTTGCGATGCCATTTTAACCGCTATAAACATGCACTAGCGTTTAACGCACCTTCGGTGCTTCGAAGTTTTTCGACAACTTATGAAAAACCGCATATATTGGAAACAACATCTGCAAAATTTTAGTGTACTGTGACTGCACCCAATTACAGGGTTGGTAATTTCGAACTTTTAAACTTTCTTTTTATTACCATTTTGAAAGCGTCATCTCGAAAACTTAATGGGCCTCTGGAGAACTTTGGAGGCCAGATTTGCAACCACTGAGAGTCCCTGAGAGCACCCTACTATAGGGTTAGGAATCCAAAATTTTGTGAATTTTTTAAACCTAAGTTTCCCGAAAAAAAAAATTGAAAAAAAACGTCTTATCTCGAAAACTAAAAGGATTTGAGCATTCGTATTAAAAGGCAAGATTTGAGACGCCTGGGTGTACAATGACAATAAGGTTGCATTTTCATCAAGTTAGTAGTTTCAAACTTTTTTGAATTTCTTTGTAGATAAGTTTTTTGAGAAACTTTGAAAAAAATCAAAAAACGTCACATCTCGGGAAACTAAAAGCATTTGAGCAGTCGCGTTTAACAGTCGTATGTGGCAAGATTTGCAACTCTTTAGAGTACCCTGACAACACCGAACTATACCGTTGGAAAATTCAAATTGTGCAAACTAATTAATATAAACTTTCTGAAAATTTTGAAAAAATCACAAAAAACGTCACCTCTCGAAAACTACAAAGAATTGAGCAACCATAATTGGAGGCAAGATTCGCAATCCTTGAAAGTACTCTGACAGGACCTAACTACAGGGTTGGGAATTTCATACTTTTGAAGAAAAATAATTTAAGTTTTCTGAAAACTTTTGAAAAAATCACAAACGTCATATCTCGAAAACTACAAAGAATTGAGCAGTCAAACTTAGAGGCGAGATTTGCAATCTTTGAGAGTACTCTGACAGGACCTAACTACAGGGTTAGGAATTTCAGATTTTGCAAAAAAAAATTAACATTGGTTTTCTGAAAACTTTTTGAAAAAATCAAAAAACGTCATATCTCAAAAAATACAAAGATTTGAACAGTCATATTTGGAGGCAACGCTTGTAACTCCTTAGAGTACTCTGACGGCACCCAACTACAAGGTTGGAAATTTCAGATTCATAGAAAAATAATCATAACTTAAGTTTTCTGAAAATTTTTGAAAAAAATCACAAAAAACGTCATATCTCGAAAACTACAATAATTTGAACAGTCATATTTGGAGGCAAGATTTGTAACTCCTTAGAGCTCTCTGACAGCACCCAACTACACGGTTGGGAACTTCAAGTTTTGTAAATGATTTAATTATTTGAAATTTCTGAAAACTTTTGAAAAAACTCAAAAATCGTCTTATCTCGTTAATTAAAATGATTCGGGCATTCAAAATTGGAGGCCAAATTCGCAACCCCTAATTCGATATTGGACTGCTTAATTTAAACTCGGTAAAATAACCCTGAAAATCAAATTGGAAAATCGAAAAAATTCTTAACCATTGCAATATACGATATAGCTTAAACATGCAAAAAATAATACGTTGAAAAAGCTTAAACATGGCGAGATAGTGAAGCCCGCATTTAAATATATAATAGATAATAGATTAGAGCCCTTAGATTCGCTACCAGAAGCAGATCTTTAGTGTACGAACTGTTTTTTTTGCAGATGACATTTTCGACTAACACATTTTCGACAAAGAGAAAAAAGTTGCAGCTTTGCGGCGTGCCAATGGAGGTTCTACTCGCAGAGTCACAAACATTGACAAAAAAATTTTAGGGAAAGCCGATATTTTGAGCGATGAAACAGGGAAACCAGTACTTAACAAAAAATTACAACCACCGAAACTACTATGGGGAAAACTGAAACTGAAGCTGGACTAATTATTAATCGCATTGAATATTGGTAAAATTCTGTTAAATCATGAGACAAAATACTAAGTAATTTTGATGAACACTCAAAATCTACATTCGAAAATTTTGTTATCATGAGATCTTTCGGTTCCTACAATTCAAAAAATAACCAACACACGAAGTAGAAAAGTTAGTTTAAAAGGCATTGACTATACATAGAGGCCAAGCGGAGCTTCGCATCACTTGCGGTACTTCACAAACAAAAACATATAAGCCGAAAAAAAGATAAATATTGAAAAACACTAGGTGTACCAAAATCAGCTGAGCCGAAGTTAATTGGATCTGTATAAAAACATCAAGTCCTCCTTGAAGCTACAAAGAACAACACTTGCAAGAACAATGATAATTGCTTGCAGCAAAACAAAATCCGTGATGTGGCAACTAAGCCGACAAAATTGGCAACTAAGCCCACAAAACTTGAGCCAATTTTCATTTCATGAACGTTACTAGCTCCCTATACCCGCTCGACGATGAAAAAACTTGAATATGAGATATTACCCAACATAATACGGCGATTATATGGCAACTGATTTTGCGTGGAAAAAAGCTTGAGCACGCCCAAAGACGAAGTTCCTCTCCAAATTTGAAGGATTTAACCCAAGAAAACATTAATGCATGCTGCGTTTTTGAACCAAAAGAAATAGATACCACAATATCAATGGATTCGCTGCTTTTCCAGAAGAAAATATTTGAGCTTTATAGGAGAATCGAAAAGATAAAACAAAACATAAACTGAAATCGAAAAGATGCGGCAAAAAATGATTATTTCTGCTAAGCAATTTACAAATATGATTTCTCCTGTACAAATAAATTCTAAACTCTTCAAAACGACATTCTTTCCAATATGATTTCAAAAAAGAGGATAGCTTAGCGCAAACTTAGCAATATATAACGACCACAAACACCAACAATTGGAAAACTCATACTGAAGCTCGAAACTTTAAGAGTCGCTTTAAATATTGGTGACAACTTACTTAAATTCATGGACAAAATTCAAAGAGATCTTCTTAAATTCATAGAGATCTTCTTAAATTCATAGAGATCTTTCGGTTCCTACAAGTCAATAAATAATCAACCAAAAAAGAAGAACAGTTAGTTTAAAAGGTAGTGCTCACACACAGAGGTGAAGCAGCTAATCTTAGCATCACTTGCAAATCAACAAAAAAAAATATAAAAAACAGCCAAAAAAATGATAAATGTTGAAAAACACTAGGTGTACCAAAGTAGCTGAGCCGGAGTTATTTCGATTTGTAAAAAAAGTATCAAGTCCTCCCTGAAGCTACAAAGAACAACACTTGCAAGTACAATGAAAATTGCTGACAGCAAAAAAAAAATCCGTGATGCGACAACTAAGTCGACATAACTAAGCAGCCAAACGAAAATCCGAAAATTTGATTTTTACCGGAAAAAAATTAATATCGTACATGATGAAAAACAAGGCCCAGTCGGGACTCAAACACCACACTTTAAAGTCCAAAGGCAACCATGATACCTCTCGTCCTACTGGTAACGAGCCTGAAAAATGTTACGGTTCACTAATAAAGCAACGAAGATCTGCAACAAAATTGTTTAGGGGAAAAGTGAAAAGTATAATTTAAAGCAAATAAAAATTTTAAAGTGGGTCTCAATGTTGAGATGGCGGAAAAAATCTGAAACACTGCTTCCCGAAAAAATTTAAATCGTTTGAAAAATAAAAACACTCCTTGCAAAAATTTGCTTTTATTTCATCATGATATATGTGGAACAAGACTTTTTGAAATGCTGGATACTTCAAATCGGGTAGAATCGACAAATTTAATCCGCCGGAGAAAAGCATGTCCTGGATGAATCGAAAAAAAAACACTCAATTTTACAATACGCGTGATACACTAGGTAACATATGATTCAATTCCACCAAAAAAAATAAGTGTAAAATAAATATTCAAAGTGTCGAGAAAGAAAGATGAATCACTTTGTTTAACATGGAAAATATTAAATCCTGTTATGAAGGGTAAAACAGAGGTGAAGCTGTGCTTCGCAAAAAACAGAGAGAAAACGACAAAAAGCAGCTCTACAAAAGCAATAAGCAAAAGAAAAAGCCTCGAATTAGTAAGAACTCGGCAACGCCTAGAAACCGATCTCCGATCTAGAGATTATGAGTCTCAGACACTAACCACTCAGCTACGGAAGCTTAATGAATATCAAACACTAACCGCATTCGAAATTCAAATTAAACATTAGATGCCCTTACGGCTATTTGAATTTTAAGAACAACTTATGATTGGCAGTTTTTTTGATAAAATTAACTCCATTTGAGAAAACTTGATCAATAAGCAAACTTTTTATTTCGCTCGAAAATCTATAAACTAAATTCCACTTTCAAAACTAGAAGTCGATCACGTTTTTGGGGACGTTTGCACTTTTGCTATTCGATAGTGGTTTGCTTTCTCCAAAATCAATGAACTGGAATTGAAAAGAAATCACAAGTCGAACCGCGAAGAAGTAAATTTGCGCCTGAACAAATTTTAATACTTTCCCGAAAAAAAGAGAAAAAAATCATCGCGTCCTATATAATAATCTGCACCACGTTCATGGACTTTTAAAAAACTTATCAAAAAACAATTCAGATAAAGGAAAAAAAGAACATATGGTGCATGAAAAAAAGTGTAAGGTAGTTTTCAATTGGCGAAAAAAAATTGAAAATCAAGCAATACAAGTTTTTCTTCGAAAACTATTTTTTTTTTGGTTTTATCAAGTTTATACTAGGCCCAATATATCTTATGGCGTTTTTACATATGACTTTTCATCAAAATGTGTCTTGCAAATACTTGTTTTTGAGCAAAGTCGGATGATAAGGACCATATGTTTCAGGATTAAAAATAAAAAGGAATTTTTCTGGAATAAACCAAATTTTCTGAAATACAAAAACAACTTCTTAGGTTTTTATCGTGTTCCTGCCAAACCCATTATATCTTATGGCTTTTTTAATGTTGCTGCGCCTCAAAAATTTCTTTGCAAAGAAAAAACTACGTTTACTCAAAGATATCGTTGATCAGTTACCATGAAAATCACATCTGAAAATTTTAAACAGAGATGAGTTAACTTAAAGGTGATCTACGAGAGCTCACAAACCAAAAATTCTTAATTTAAAAATAATTAGAACAAACTCCTTGCAGAGTTCATTCAGCCATAGGAGTAAAAAAAAAACTTAAAATCTTTTACCCTCAAACAAACTTCTACTTGACACGAAAAAATATTAACTATAAATGGAATTAATTAATACCGTTTTTACAGCAAAAACTGTTTTCTCAAAGATAATTCCTATTTATACGAATTAAATTTTCCTATTTTTCTTTGCTGTTTCTAGTTTTTCAGGGACGCGCCTTAGTTTGTGCGTAAACCTTATGCGTTAGATACTGTTTGTGAGTGATGCTGTGAGTTAGAAACAATCTATTTATGCCTTTCTCACTAAATACTCTTAGTTTGCTTGAATTTCCTGGCCGGATCAGAGCCCGGTAGTTTGTTTGTCCTAAACAAAAACCTCACCTCCGCACCCAAATGAGCATGGAACTTGAATGATTATGAATGAGGCTACCAAATCATTCAATAATTCAGTGGGACAATTTGTTTACACGAACAAACAAACTTGTTCTAACTTGATACTGCTAGCCACACAAAATAATAAAAAAGGTTTTTATACTCCACGAATCCACGCGTTTTTATACCGCGAATCAATCAACGACTATTTACTCTTCGATCAAATCCGAGCATATTTACTCCTCGGCGAAGCCTGATCATTAAACAGTATTGGTAACAAACAGCACACCTGTTCATAGGTTCCGGACATCCGCAATTCGTCGCACGCGTATGTTAAATACAACGGATTTGAGGCGTCTCTCTTAGACACCAGCTGTCCCAGTTGGTTATTAAAAGCAGCCGTGTCTAGGTGTTTGCCAAAGTTACTAAGACGACTTTGCACCAGGTGTTTCCTGTCCACGACATTTAGTTCCCCTATTGAAATGACGTCATCGGCCAATTCCTCGGCTCGCTTGTGAAGAGGTCCAGAGGAGCTGACGCTGAGCACAAAGACACAACCCTAAACAAAATTATGATTGTTGTTGTTCCGAAATTGACCCCGAATCCAAAAATCCGTTCCACTCTGCGTTTTTGTTCATTGTTGTTGTTCCTAAATTGACCCCGAATCCAAAATTCCGTTCCACTCTCCGTTTTTGCTCATTGTTGTTGTCCCAAAATTGACCCCGAATCCAAAATTCCGTTCCACTCTCTGTTTTTGTTCCAGCCAATTTTGACTACCTCACGGAAAGCTCAAAGCGGTATTAAATTCGAGCCCTTTTGATCGTTATTCGAATTTGAAAAATTTGTCTCAGTGTCGAGAAAAACTCGTCTGAATGTTTTCAAAAATTTTCAGACTAAATCAGGCGAAATTTGACGATCCCGGGTTGACCTCAATAGACAAAAAATGCTAATCATACAGTTCCATAAACTAAGTCTATGAAAAAATTCTAATCATACAAATTTCATACATTTTGCTAAAATAGTCTGATCGAATTTTCAAAGAACTTTTTTCTTGCTTTGGCATAAAAGTCAGTGTATTGTAATAAATATAAAAGAACAACTTTTTGTCAAAAAAAAAGTACTAATCATACCAATTTCATATAAGGAAATTGTAAGACTAGCATTTTTTTTGATGGCGAACAAAAATTTTAGTTTTAAAATTTCACCGAACAACTCGAATTTTGTACTCAAACAAACATTTTCAAAAAAAACTTTTGCAAGCAAAATCAATTTGTGTGCATAACGTAGTCCTGGATACACCAAAATTTGATTTTTTTTCCATTTCTCTGGATAAACTTTTTCAAAAATGCTAAAAATTCCCATTTCTTTTGTATGGCATGCTTATGCATGCCTTGATCAATGACTGATAAATTAAAAACTCAATATTTGAAAGAAATCATCTGGTAAATTTTTGCCAAAACTTAAAAGTTTGATGCTTTCAGTAAATAGTTTGTGTAAGACAACTCTTATACAATTCAGGTCGTTTCCAATGCATTGTAATTGCAAGACCATGGAACCTTTGGTGACCCTAGTTTTGAGTAAACCATGGTTTTTGTAACTTGTGTTCACGAGAAATTAAACTGAAAAAAAAAAAAAACAAAAAAAAAAACAATTTTTTGGTTAATGGGACAATGCTTGTCATACAATTTCCATATATGAAAAATCACTAATCATAGACCTTTCATGCAGCTTTCCGTAGGTATGGATTTACAAAAAAAAGTGTATGAGTAGCATTTTTCCTATATGAAAGTTGTATGATTAGCATTTTTGGTAGTGGGATTTTAGCGAAATTGACTGATATCCCAATTCTATTTCAACGTCTACAATTTCAACGTTATTTTAACTATTATTACTCCTAATTCTTTGGTTCTTTTACCTAATTCAATCAACCTTTACTGCAAACATACGTGAATTTATCTAATTGAGTCACCCTTTACTGGAAAAAATACTTAACTGAAAAATAAACTTTTTTATAGGTTGACTAAAATGATTTTTCGAGATCTCCCAAAGCACTACAAACACCTTGTTTTGGTCAAATTTTCAGCAGCAGGCAAAATTTCGAAAGAACAGGTCAAAAAAGCGTTTTTAGGCACTTTTTGGAAAATTATGACCAGAAAAATGGATGTCTCAAATTAGTACAAAGAGGGAACTTTTGCATCGGCAGGGATCGAATCCCTGAAGCCCCCCCAAAAAAATCCTTTGGTGGTGGGCAGAACATTCTGTGCTACTTGCACAGCAACTTGCTAGCCTTGTTTCATAGTAACATCACGACAGTTCCATTTGTTCGAGATTCGTTGTTGCCGAAGTTTCCTTTGGAAATTAGACTTTTAATTACTATTCAAAAAAAAATAAACACCCCCAATCGATTTAGGGGAGGGCGGATAAAATGACTGTTTTTCAGAAATTAACTTCTTCGAAGGCAAAATAAATTGGTCTAATTGATCAAAAAACGTAATCGATAGAAAATTATGATTAATATTTTAGGTTATTAAAACGTGATATGTTACAATAGCTGGTAATTTTGAGTGTAAAGCAAGTATTAAAATTTGAGAATTATAATACATAATTTAGTCATTTCATTTTCAATCAATTATGCAACTACTAAGATAGTTTTTGTAAATACATTTTTCTGGCAGATGAAATGCTACTCAAAAATTCAAAATTTACATTTCTGCAAAAAAGTTTGGCCTTTGAAGCGAATTATAAATTATGTGCGAAGTAAAAGAAAAAGCGATCCAGCTATTCAATTTGAATCTACCATTTATTGAAATATATCAGCTATTAAAAGTATAAAAGAGCTGCTCCGTATAAAAAATTTCTCAACTCGTTGATTCTGCGCACTTGTTTGAAATGAATATCTTATGCGGAATTAAATTTCAGAATTAATACATGCTTGGGCAGGACATTCTACGGTAGGTCAAACAGAGGGTGAGACATTGTATGGTTGATCCGAAAAATATAGACCGATTCGAGTCTCTATTGTGTAATGCATGTTGTTTTGACTGGGCTCTTTTTTCTCTGATTCAACAACTTTGTTGAAAAAATAATGATTTTTATCCCATATTATTTTTTGCTCACTTTAGGAAGAACTTTGGGCACCCAGTTTAGATTACAATATGTGACGCCACCGCTTTTGGTAGTTTTTGAGCACATCCGTTCGAGTCCATCAAAGAAAAGCAGGAAAGGTCTCTTCTGTCTCTTTAGGGAGAACAGTGACACAACTATCTGCAGCCACTTCAGGAATTCCTTTCTCAGCTCACTGAAACATAAAACATTGTCAACTGACAGTTGGAAAAGAGAAACGAACTTTGAATTTCTAGAACTATTTATGATGGGCGCTTTTTGATAAATTAACCCAACTTGAGAAAACTGGATCAAAAGTGCATATATACCTAAGTGCATTCATAAATGAATTATTATGTATGAATGCACATCTGTATATATTAGAGCATGACTTTTTCCTGAAATAAAAAAATCACCTATCTACGTTTATTATTCTTCACTACGTTCATTATTCACAAAAATGGGCTTTTTACATAAAGGCAAAGCTGTCACTTCACAAACACAAGCGACAAATAACAAAAAAAGAGCTCCTTTAATTAGAGAAAATAAGCCGAGAAAAAATCTTTGAAAAACAAAAGCTTGTGAAGACTAGGAGATGCAAGTGAAGGACCACCCGAACAGGAGACACCTGCCTTAAACACTTACCTTCAAAAACAAGGGGAGATTTTTGCGGAGTTTCGCAAAAGAGGCAATTCGAAAGCTAAAAATTTCTTTTTCAACCAGTTCTCTTGCCTCAAAACAAATTTTACAAAAGAATTCAACTCCAGGCAACACCTTTTAACACGAAAACCATCAACATGTCTGCAGTTAGAGTTAAAAGGACACAAAAAAGGCACCGCCACATCATCGTTAAAAAGTCGAGTCAGAGAGCAAAAAAAAATTGAACAAGGAGCCGCACTTTCAATTGAAATGCAGATTTGATTAAAATTTCAATGATCTTTCCAGTCGCTCTCAGATCAGACATCCTTTTACATCAGTTTTTTCATGGTGATATTTAATAACGTATTTTGAAGTTTTTCGTGGGGTTGATTCTTAGCATTCAAAATTTCGGCGCTAGAGCCTTAACGATCTGAAATACAACAAGAAATACAAAAAGAGGTAATTATTCCGACAGAAATAAAGCCGACAGCCAATAAGCTAAATATCAATTAAAACCTTTTGGCAAAACCAGATTGGAACAAAAAATGCATGAACTAACCACATACGATCCACAAGAATTATATATGTTTTATACGCAGGGTATTAAACATAATTCGGAAATTAAACCGACAAAGCTTAAGTCGACAAACAACAGCAAGAAACTAATACCGAAATTGTATACTTATGCACACAATGGTTATAATTCTAGCTATTGAGTTTTAAAAAAAACTATACTAGCAGACACTAGTTAAATTTAATTTTTAAGACATTGAGCATTTCAGCAGCATCACAAATGATTCAAAAGCTTTTATTAACTAAGTTCTTTACCCGAAAAAAAATCTGTATTCCGATTTGATAACACTTGCATCAAAAATTACATTATCTGCATAAGTTTGAATTTTTTTTCTTCGAAATAAAGGAGAACAGAAACGTTATATTTAAAGAGCCATCAGACCGTAGTATCCTACCTTAAAGGCAAATGTTCCGAGAATAAACTGCTGACAAACCTAGTTATTTTAAAAGTGAGCGAAAAAAATAAACATGTTCATACAGTGCTGATTTAAATTATCCGGAAAAAACGAACGAAACTTGAACTTTCAAACGCGTTTTCCTCAAATTGAGTGGAGATGAGACAAAAAGCGAAGAGAACAAAAGTTGCTTAGAATTTCACCAGAATTAATATGGTGCCATTTTTTCCCGAAATTTTCAACAAAAATTTTACCCCAAAAATGGGTCATTTTGGCTTTTTTCAATTAATCAAGAATTGCGCTGAAATTACTTTGTTAATTGATAAGAAAATTATATCACAAGAAGCTTCCTATGCAGCTCAACAAGGTTTAAGAACGGTTAAGTCTCCAAAAATGAATGCACATCTATATATTAGAGCATGACTTTTTTCCTGAAATAAAAAAATCACCTATCTACGTTTATTATTCTTCACTACGTTCATTATTCACAAAAATGGGCTTTTTACATAAAGGCAAAGCTGTCACTTCACAAACACAAGCGACAAATAACAAAAAAAGAGCTCCTTTAATTAGAGAAAATAAGCCGAGAAAAAATCTTTGAAAAACAAAAGCTTGTGAAGACTAGGAGATGCAAGTGAAGGACCACCCGAACAGGAGACACCTGCCTTAAACACTTACCTTCAAAAACAAGGGGAGATTTTTGCGGAGTTTCGCAAAAGAGGCAATTCGAAAGCTAAAAATTTCTTTTTCAACCAGTTCTCTTGCCTCAAAACAAATTTTACAAAAGAATTCAACTCCAGGCAACACCTTTTAACACGAAAACCATCAACATGTCTGCAGTTAGAGTTAAAAGGACACAAAAAAGGCACCGCCACATCATTGGTAAAAAGTCGAGTCAGAGAGCAAAAAAAATTGAACAAGGAGCCGCACTTTCAATTGAAATGCAGATTTGATTAAAATTTCAATGATCTTTCCAGTCGCTCTCAGATCAGACATCCTTTTACATCAGTTTTTTCATGGTGATATTTAATAACGTATTTTGAAGTTTTTCGTGGGGTTGATTCTTAGCATTCAAAATTTCGGCGCTAGAGCCTTAACGATCTGAAATACAACAAGAAATACAAAAAGAGGTAATTATTCCGACAGAAATAAAGCCGACAGCCAATAAGCTAAATATCAATTAAAACCTTTTGGCAAAACCAGATTGGAACAAAAAATGCATGAACTAACCACATACGATCCACAAGAATTATATATGTTTTATACGCAGGGTATTAAACATAATTCGGAAATTAAACCGACAAAGCTTAAGTCGACAAACAACAGCAAGAAACTAATACCGAAATTGTATACTTATGCACACAATGGTTATAATTCTAGCTATTGAGTTTTAAAAAAAACTATACTAGCAGACACTAGTTAAATTTAATTTTTAAGACATTGAGCATTTCAGCAGCATCACAAATGATTCAAAAGCTTTTGTTAACTAAGTTCTTTACCCGAAAAAAAATCTGTATTCCGATTTGATAACACTTGCATCAAAAATTACATTATCTGCATAAGTTTGAATTTTTTTTCTTCGAAATAAAGGAGAACAGAAACGTTATATTTAAAGAGCCATCAGACCGTAGTATCCTACCTTAAAGGCAAATGTTCCGAGAATAAACTGCTGACAAACCTAGTTATTTTAAAAGTGAGCGAAAAAAATAAACATGTTCATACAGTGCTGATTTAAATTATCCGGAAAAAACGAACGAAACTTGAACTTTCAAACGCGTTTTCCTCAAATTGAGTGGAGATGAGACAAAAAGCGAAGAGAACAAAAGTTGCTTAGAATTTCACCAGAATTAATATGGTGCCATTTTTTCCCGAAATTTTCAACAAAAATTTCACCCCAAAAATGGGTCATTTTGGCTTTTTTCAATTAATCAAGAATTGCGCTGAAATTACTTTGTTAATTGATAAGAAAATTATATCACAAGAAGCTTCCTATGCAGCTCAACAAGGTTTAAGAAGGGTTAAGTCTCCAAAAACCAGTATATGAGAAAAAATTTTCATTGATAGTCAATAAATGTGATTTTTACTATATAAAACCCAGAATCTCTGTTGAAAAATAAATTTTAAACAATTTGCTCAAATTTTTGTAGACTTAACCCTTCTTAAACCTTGTTGAGCTGCGTAAGAGGCTTCTTGTGATATAATTTTCTTATCAACTAACAAAGTAGTTTCAGCGTGACCCATTTTTGGGGTAAAATTTTTGTTGAGTTTGTTGAGAATTTCGGATAAAAAATGGCACCATATTAACTCTGGTGAAATTCTAAGCAGCTTTTGTTCTCTTCACTTTTTGTCTAATCTTTACCCAATTTGAGAAAAACGCGTTTGAAAATTCATGTTTTGTTCGTTTTGTCCGGATAATATAAATCAGCACTGTATACAGATACCTCCTCAGAAAAACTTGACGGAATGAATTTTTGAAACAAAAAAAAACAACTGAAAAAACATTAAAAAATGACGTAGCTGTTGATCAGAAATGTGTTTCGGTTTGTTCTCCTTTGATCATCATTATGTTTTGCATCGTTTTGATTGGCATAGTGATATTATGTTTCTCGAACTGATGCTCACTCACGCGTTAAAAAAGTTCAGTTCTTCAACAGGTGTAACTTTTTGCAAGAAAACTATAATATATCGAATCTTGGAAAAAAATTCCGAAAAAAATGTCGAATGAATTTCCACTTGCTTCTTCTTGTTCAGCAACTAGTGCAAAAAACACTTCGAATGGCACAAAAAAGACATTAAAAAAAGCAAATAAAATGAAAAAATGAATTGAAAAAAAATTGTAACGCTAACCAAAACATTCACAAGTTTGTCTCGAATGAAATTAAGCGTCAAAAACACTATTGCCAGCTTTCAATTAGCATTGAAAAAAACCGGGCGTTAACGAAAACGATAATACTCACAAAAACTAAATTGTTGACATAAAAAAAATTGAGCAGTGAATATTTGTTGAAGTCTTCTCAAGACCAAACATGCAGGAAAACCAAAATTTGCACATCATATGACAAAAAAAGAGCCATATTTAACCAAATAACAACTAAACCAAAACCATTGCAGCCCAATGAGCATTTTAAGCAAAAAAACTGACCGTAAACCGATAGGCTAAACCTGCAATTTAAAGTAAGATATCAAAATAACGTTCAGGCTCAGTACTCAAAACGTTCAAGCTTTATCTAGTGGTTTTCAGATATTCCAAACTTAAACTATGAAGTACGACGTAAAATGCCGACAGCATACAACTGCACATTCCATAATTGAGAAAAAGTTCTACAACGACTAGTTTTTTTTGTAAAAATCCTTATTTCTTCACAAGGATTCTTGTTCAAATTATTAGATTAAGTTATTATTAGGGTTGATTTTATTTATAATTTACTGCCATCAATAGTTTGATTCAGCGTAATTAAAAATAAATATCAGAATTTTTTTTGAAAAATCTGTTTATTAAAATCGTCATATCTCAGAAACTAAGAAAGACTTAATTTCAAACCAAATGTGCAACGGCCGAGAAAGCACCAAAGCATCACATCATGGGGCTGAACTTTTGAATAGTATTTTTTAAACTGTTTTCGAAAAATCATAACACAAATTTCATATCTCGGAAACTAAGGCGATTTGAGCGATCATTATTTGAGTCCACATCTGCAACCTTTTGAAATTACCCAACCATAGGGTCGAGCAGCTAAATTATTTTTTTAATTTAAATATTTGGAGGCAAGATTTGCAACGTTTGCTGAGATTACCATAGGGTTGACCATTACAGTTTTTTCATATCTAAGTTAGTTAAAAGTTTTTGAAAAATCATACAAAAAGGCGAGCATTCATACTTTTAGGCTAAAATGGCAACCTTTGAGAAAGCACTCAGTGCATACCACCACAGGTTAGCTAGCTTCGAATTTTATGATTTCAATGCTGAAACGAAAAACTTCAAAGTTTTTCCTTGGAAATGAAGAAAAAACTGTTAAGACATTCGCGTTCCACGAGTTGTATGGTGAAAACAAATGTTGACTTTAGAAGTTTGCAATCAGTAGTTTATATGAATAAAAAGCTTTCTTGAACACTCGTACAGTATATTTCAAATCGTCGACTTCAAAAAACATTTTAACACTATATTGCCTTTATAGCATGTCAACATAGGGACTTCTTAAACATGTGACACGTGAAACACCAGTTAATTATAGTATAGATTGTTTGAATGGCGGAGTGCGTCTGCAACTGTAGGGATCGGATGCCGAGTTTTTTGTGAACCCGCTCGTCATTAGTTTCAATTAATTGTTTGCCCTCCTGTGTACTTACTGTAGTTTACTTTTGCTTGGAAGTATTCAAACTTGTCTTGTTTTAGTTTTCACTCTCGACTCTTGACCTGATGTTACTTTAAAATATGCTGCCCTTTGGAATATACTGTGTGGAGAGAGGAAGCTTCGATCATTACAGCATAGAAAACAGAAGTTAAAATAATTAACGTGACGTGACTGTTACAAGATTTTTTGCAGAAAAAACTTAGACGGTAAATGCTAATAGTGTTAATGATGGCTTAAGTTATACTTTATTTAAAAGCATTTAGTTTTGTGTCACAGAATACGTAGATTGAATTACGAGTAAGGACGATGGCCTCAATTAAGTTGGATCGCGTCATCGGTGACGTAAATTGAAAAAAATCAATTACAAAACCGGCATTAAATGGAGTGAAATTGTAGTGGGGTGAATTGGCTACGGCGAGTACCTAGTGCTCGAAAACAAAATCGCTAAAGAATTTACCGTACCTCGACAACAAAATTGATTCTCATGATTTTTACTCAGTTTTTTGTTTTAATCAATTTTTTGTTTTGACGAATTTTCGTTCCGACAAATTATTGTTTTTGTTCCTTTTAAGTCTTTGGGGATACTGAAAGATAAATGTACTAATGCGCCAATTGTACTATTTTGAAGAGCGTAATTTGCCTTCCATTTAGCAAATGCATTTGATAAGAACTTTGAAAGAGAAATCAAAAGTTTGACCACAAAATCAAATTTGAGCCCAAACAATTCAATTGTTTCCAGAAAAATCATGTCTTCAGTTGGTTCATTGGCATTATTCTGGCTCGACAACAATGATCGTATAAAAAAAAACATGGAACAAACCTTCAAAGCAAAAAGATTCATGAAATGACATGAAGGAAGCGCTCCCTGGAAAGATAGTGAGCGCCCCTTAATGATACGATTTTTAAGGCATCAAAAAGAGTTAAGTGATGCCTTCAAAGCGTAAAGATGAAAAGTTACGCTGATATTCTCATTCATGCGCAGCTGGCAAGAATAGTTCCACATCAATCGCAAATTGGTACAGTTTATGATCTCACAGTAAAGTTAAAACACTCGACTGTTCGAACCAGTGATAAAAATTTGATCAACGCAATTGCCACGTTATGTTTTTCCTTGGTTATGGCTACATATCAACAAAGCAGCGAGATAAGAGTTTTTTCATCGAGTGAAAACAACCAACATGTCACCCATGTTTTTTCATTAAAAAATTCTAGCAAAATTATTTCGAGTTTACTAGCAAACTAACTTGAGCTGGCCATCATTCGAAATAAAAACGAAAATTTAGCATAGAACTTGATTTGATTAAAAACCTTTTCTCGATTAAACGTTTTCATATTTCTTCAGTATGAAGGCGTTTCCACGGAGATTAAAACGGCCAAATCCATTTTTGATTAATTTTCAAACTATAATTATTCTACGTTGCGAACTCGTTTCCTCCGAAGAGTGAAAATGGTTTCTTGTTGATTAAAATGTGAGCAACACAACAAAGTCAACTCAGCGGGACTGAGCTTTTAATTTTTGAGTCTTTTAGTGTTCTATGAAATCTTTGAAAATTAATTAAATCTGCCTAAAAATAGTGCGAGCCTTTTGTTAGAAATAATTCCCACAACATTCTCAAATATATCCCGCTTTGATATAACTTCACTTAAATTGAGATTGAACTAAAAATCTGACAATGAGATGAGCGCTGACTTTTTACGGAATTTTCTGCTAAGTTCCTTTTGAAACTAAGTCGAACCCAAAAGAAGATTTTTTTGTTTTGATTCCGCTCTTTTTGCGACTTTTGTTGTTCCAACTAATGAAAATGGAGAGGAACTTTGTATTCGGGTGTGTTTTGGTTGTTCTTTTTTTCACGCAAAATCAGGTTCCTCAAATAATTATCGTGAAGGAAGTTTACCTGCTATCCTTGTTGCACTTTAGAAACTTATAATTAATTGAACTTTACCGTCTACGCAATGTTAAATCATCGCAGAGTAGATATTTTAATTGAGAAAGAGAATTCTCAATGTATGGTCCCGTAGAGATTATTTTCCTGCCTGTTTTCAGCGATTGCGTCCACCAACTGTTGGTAACAGAGAAGCAACCATTTTTTATTCCCAGCAAACAACAATCTTGAAATTTCAAAGTGAAACTTGGCTTCATGGTAATTGGCATAATGATTCCATTTCTCAAAAACTCAGTATATGAAAAAATCTTTTACTAAGCACAACTTTGTTTGTTAAAAAAATTATCGCAAAGTGGTGAAACCTGACGAGGACGTAGCTATAAGCTTTGTGTCTATACGCGAGCGATAATTGCTTTGATTGAGATAAAAAAACAAATAAGCGTAAATTTAAATTTCGTTTTGATAATCTCTTTATTCGTCAAGGACATGTAAAATTTCATTTTCGACCTATTTCGGCGAAGTGCATGCTGTTCAAATTTGATTCGACATGCGTATGCTGATTGACACGCATGCTAAGAGGCCATTCCAAATGGCATACAGGTCTTTTTTGTTTTTGTAAAATTTGACTGTTGACGTTCTGCGTGAGTATATTTGTGACGATAATTGTTGAAAATTGACAGAAATTGCCGAAGTTTTTATAATTATATATTTATCAGACTAACTTGGAGCTCAGTGGAACTTCCATGTCATCAAGATGGAAGTCGATTTTGAAGTTCTTCAACAAGCGGGTCAAAATTGATTCCACACTTTCTGCACCCCCCACAAAATGGTAGAACAACCCGGTCTCCACTGAACATGTTTCATCCCCTCCTGTTCCTTCGAATTCCTTAATAAGCGAAGCCTGAAATGAAGTCGATGAAAAATTCAATAGAACACCTGCAATTTGTAATTGACAATTAAAATTCAATTTGACGCCTGCAAAGGTCTATAAAAATAGCCATGTTTTCAAATTGACATTTTTGAACCCAAATTTCAACAACTAATCGGAAATGGAAACGTATTTTTGCAATCTGAAAACTATTTGACAGGAAATGATGAGCGCTTCAACATGCGTCAAGGCCCAAGCGTCAAAATATTCCAACATAGAAGAAATGCAGATTTTTCAACCTAAGGTTGGTATTTCGAAAAAAAAACCCAAGAAAAGAAACCATTTAATAATAACTAGCGTGTAACGCACCACCGGTGCTTCGAACTTTTGACAACTCAGGAAAAATCGCAAATAATGGAAACCAGATCTGCAGGCTTTTAGTGTACTCTGACAGCACCCAATTACATGGTTAGGAATTTCAAACTTTCAAGAAAAAAAATTTACTCGAAAATTCTCAAAAAACGTCATATCTCGAAAACTATATAAGAATTTGAGCAGTCATATTTGGAGGCAAGATTCGCAACCCCTGAGAGTACCCTGAAATTTACTCGAAAAATTACAAAAAAACGTCATATCTCGAAAGCTATAAGAAGTTGAGCAGTCATATTTGGAGGCAAGAATCGCAACCCTTGAGAGTACCCTGAAATCACACAACTACAGGGTAAGGCATTTCAAATTTTGAAGAAAAAAAATCGTTAAGTTTTCTGAAATTTTTTTGAAAAATCACAAAACACGTCATATCTCGAAACTACAAAGATTGGAGCAGTCATAACTGGAGGCAAGGTTCGCAACCCCTGAGAGTACTCTGATAGCCCCCAATTACAGGATTGGGAACTTCAAATTTTGAAGAAAAAAAATCGTTAAGTTTTCTGAAATTTTTTTGAAAAATCACAAAACACGTCATATCTCGAAACTACAAAGATTTGAGCAGTCAACTTTGGAGTCAAGATTCGAAACTTCTGAGAGTACTCTGACAGCACTCAGATACAAGGTAAGGAATTTTAAAATTGAAAAAAAAAATAATTCAACTTTTCTGAAATTTTTGTGAAAAATCACAAAAAAACGCCATATCTCGAAAACTACAAGGATTTGAGCAGTCAAATTTGGAGGCAAAACTCGCAACTCATGAGAGTACTCTGACAGCACTCAGATACAAGGTAAGGAATTTTAAAATTGAAAAAAATAATAATTCAACTTTTCTGAAATTTTTGTGAAAAATCACAAAAAAACGCCATATCTCGAAAACTACAAGGATTTGAGCAGTCATATTTGGAGGCAAAACTCGCAATTCATGAGAGTACCCTGACAGCACCCAACCAAAGGGTAAGGCATTTCAAATTTTGAAAACAATTAAATCAAGTTTTTTGAAAATTTAAGTTTTAATTTAGATAAAAAAAGATACTAAAAAAATAGAAAAAAGATCGAAAAGAAGGATTGAAAAAGAAATCGAAAAAGGCTTGAAAAAATTTAAGAAAAAGGAGAATCAAAAAAATACAAAAAATAGAAAAAAAAGATCGAAAAGAAGGATAGAAAAAGATTGAAAAAGAAGGATCGAAAAAAGACAAAAATAAGATTTGAAAAAAAGATTGAAAAAGGATCGAAAAAAAGATAAAGATAAAAAAAAGATAGGAAAACACATCGAAAAAAAATATTGAAAAAAGAAACGACAGAAAAAAATAGAAAAAAGAGAACAAAAGGTCGAAAAAGAAAGATCGAAAAAAGATAAAAGAAAGATGAAAAAAAACATCGAAAAAGAGGGATCGAAAAAGAAGGATCGATAACATTGAAAAAAAAGATAGAAAAAAAAGTCGAAAAAGAAGGATTGAAAAAAAAAGATAAGAAAAAAAATCGAAAAAGAAGGATCGGAAAAAAACATCGAATATGATTGAAAAAAAAGATCGAAAAAGAAAGATCGAAAACAAAGATCAAAAAAGAAGGATTAAAAAAAGATAAAAAGATCAAAGAAAAGATAGAGAGAAAAAAGATCGAAAAAGAAGGATCGAAAAAGAAGGATTGAAAAAAAACTTAGAAAAAAGATAGAAAAGATCGAAAAAGAAGGATCGAAAAAATAAGGATAAAGAAACAGGAAAAAAAATATAGTAAATCCAACTAAAGATAAAGAGAAAGAATTGGAGACAACAGTTTGACAGTAGTATTATTTTGAACTGAATCGTCGAAACCAAATTGAAAGTTAAAAAATTAGGAGACGGGTAGACAGGCATAATCAAATTAAATGAAAAAGCAGGTATACAGACAGACAGACCTAATTTGGCCTCGAAAAAAAAATTACTGATAACTAATTGAAAAATTTTCTTAAGCATTGCAATATATGATATAGCTTAAACATGAAAAAATTCTTTCGTTAAACATGCAAAATTATTATGCTTAAACATGGGAGATAGCTGTCACTCGCATTTAAATATAGTATAGATAGATATAGATAGTGATAACCAGTGAATTGTCCACGTTATACATATTACATAAAATAATCCTATTTGATATACGTAATGTACACCAGCACATTTATTCCATGCGTTATCAACTTGAAAGCTCTTTATCTTCAATTAAAACTGCAGAGGGAAGCAGAAAACGGCTGAGAAGCAACATTACAAAAAATTTTAGGCTGCATTTTTATAGAACTGATTGCTCTTTTTGGTTGAAGGTTTTAAAAATGCTTCAAAAGCTCTATTTTTCTCAAAAAAATGACCAGCAAGTCGGAGCTTTTTGGTAAAATTTCTTGTTATACGGTATATGCCCACCCTCCATTTTATTTAGGATTATCCGTTATGAGCACATAAATATGACACGATTAAACGTTTAAGATAAAGTGCCATATGACAAAACACAACTTAGCCAACAGATAGTCAACAGAACGAAACCGAAAAAAAACTTGACTTCAAGCCCCCAAATTTTTACAAAAAATAATTGGAGGTAAAATATCTTTTTACATTTGAACTCAGGAAGCCCATATCTTCAATGGGGTATAAAAAAATTTTGTTGAAAATTATTATTTCGATCGGTGAAAATTGACTGAATAAAAAACCACAACGAGAATAAATATTCCGTTTTCTTCAAAAGTCCGGGAAAAAATGAAACAAAAGCCACAGTCTAAAACAAATGAAAAATGTTAAGAAACCGCTTTTAAAAAAATTTCACAATTTAGTCACGATGTTTAATTTGACAAAAACACAACCAGCATACAATTGCCGGTGAGAAATAAGTATTCATAAAAATCTATCGAACGGCAACTAAGCCTATTACATTTTGGTAACTCCCAGTAAGCCAAGTGTGGCGGAGAAACCAAGAATTTTGAATTTATTAAAAACCAAGCTATCAAATAATTTAACTGATTTTATCGAACAAAATGCTATTAACCTGGAAAAAGTCTAGATTCCGATTTGATAACGCCTGCTAATTGCAGACGTGACTAGAGAGCGTCATTAGCTATAATTAGCGCAAATTAATTTAAGCTAAACTTGAAAAAAATCAACCCCCAAAAAGCTGAAGTTGAACGTGGACAACTTTTCAGACTAGCTTGAAAATTTTTTTTTAGAAAAATCAAAACAGCCTATATGCTGATTTATCAACTAAAACAGAAAAAACTATATTTTTAGAAATTTAATTTAACAGTTTGTCTTAAATTAGGGAGATAATGGACGAAGCGAGCGACAGAAAATTGGAAACGAACACAACAAGGAAACAGAAAAATGACGCAATGAAGAAACCAAAAAAATGACTTATGAATAAAAACTTTTCGCATTTCAAGAAGAAAATATTTGGCCTTAAAGTTCTTCGAAGTTCAAAAACATACGATGATTGACAATTTTGTGATAAAACTAACCCAACTTGAGAACATTGAATGGAGGGCTAAATTTTCATTACCCTGGGAAAACTAGAAATTAAATAAACTTTTGAACTTATTCACGCCTGCGCTCCTAGAGCTTTCACAATTGGATAGCATGAATTACCTTCCTTTAAAACAAATCAGATTATCAAGACCTATTCAAGTGTCTTTAAAGGGTTTATAGACACTCAAAAAGTGATAGGAAGAAAAAATGCTCTAAATGTACCAAATATTATATGGTGAAACCTTTTTTTTGCAAAATTCAAGCCCAAAAAGGGTCAATTTCGGCACCTTTTTGTACATCTATTGAAAAAGAACTTAGAGAATAAAGGATTCAGTCAGTTTTTTTATTCAGCTGGAAATTCAGAAAAAAAAACTAGTTTTCAAGCAAGAAGTCATGCACGCACGGTTTTCGTGACTTTTACACTTTGCGGTCGATAAGAGAGCTTGTTTTCCTGTCAACAAAGGAATAGAAGTAAAAAAAAAATTCGAACCGTGAAAAATCGAAATTAGGCAGGGAAAAATTTCAGGGAAAAATTTCAAAAATATCACATATATAAGTGAAATAATTTACGATAATTTCACATTATCTGCGATAAATTACACTTGAATATTTCAGAACTACCGAGTCAATTACTCAATAAAACTCATCAAATTAAGCTTCTAAGGTAAATCAAAAAAAACCTACGAGTATAATCGTCTAAATTTTGTTCAAATTAGTTTAAACTCAAAAAAATTCTTAATTCATGTTATGCGCAACGTTATTGAGATTATACCCTTGTTTAACTAGCTGGCTATAAAGAAGGCTCACTTTGATACAAACTGCTCAGCGACTGAATCGGTAAATTTGACATCAATTTTGGTACATTATCTCGGACCAGAAATTCGCGCTCCAAATTGACGACATTAATACAAGGCTAAACTCTCAAAAAGCGAAAAACTTTGTCTTTCTTAAAACGGAGTTAAATCAATTGCAAAAACGCATTTATATTTCTGATTTTGCACAAGTAGCATAAGTAGCACTGTATAAGTATCTTCATTACAACTATTGGCAATAAAAAAGTACACATTTAGATGTCAAAGTTTGACAACAACCAAGCCAAAATTATTAATGCCAGTAAAAAACTGAAACATTCTATTCAAATCTGTGCTTCGTCTTCAGCAGCAATACTCGGTTACTTAATACAATTAGGTATAATTTTGAAAATATTGGACAGGAGACAGTCAAACTGCAAAAATTGGCTAAGAACAGGGGCGGATTTAGGGGGGGGGGGGGGGGCGGACGCCCCCCCCCCCCCCTCAGGGATTCGAACCCCTGCCAACCCAAAGGGTCCCCCCTTTGGTACTTTTTAAGAAATCCAATTTTGGCCGACCGAATATAGCCAGTTCTAAAAAAGTCCATTAACTCCAGGAACCCAAAAAATGAATTGAATTTTCTGAAAAAAAAATAAAATTAAAAAAGAACACATACATTATCTCAAACCTCGTTTCAATTTTTAAATCTTTTATGTTTGACACCTATTTGATAAAACTGACCCCATTTTATAAAACTACCTCACGGATGACCTTTGATTCCGCCCTCAAATTGAAAACAAAACACTTTGGAAAAATATTCATTTCTTGGTCGCCATTTGAAATTTTATAGAAATTATATGTTCCCTTTCATTTGGCAACTAAATTGGAAACTTAAAAGAAATCAAAACTCAAGCCGACAAAACAAAACTGAGCGTAAACATCTAAGACTTATTCCGAGAAAAATGCCAGAATGCTTTCACGCTGCTCATTAACCCATAAAAACATAACCAATCGAAGATTGGAAAAGAGTAATGAGCGCAAGTAAACAGAAAAAAACACTGACTTTGTTGAATAAATCTCAACTTTCGAAGAAAAAAAATAGATGCCTTTAAAGCTCTTTGAATTTCTAGAACGATTTATGATTGCGCTTTTTTGATAACATTAACCCAACTTGAGAAAACTGGATCAACAGGTGAAGTTGTAATTCCGCTGAAAATGAAATTAAATTCCACTTTCGAAACTAGAAATTGTTCGCGAATTTTCGCGCCATTTGCACGTTCGTAATTGGAGAAGGCTAATTATGTCACTTTCAGCAGATGAATTGCAATTGAACTCAAAAAGTGCATTATAACTAAGTGCATCATTATTCTAAGACTTTTTCCTGAAAAAAAAAACAAAAAAATTCAGCAAGACCTATATAAGAGCCTTCACTATGTTCATTACTCTTGAACATATTCCACAACACCAAACCGATTCTTTATTAACAAATTTTGATTACGAAAAGGCTCACAAACAAAATCTACCCAAGTTCAGCTATCAATTGCAATTGAGGGAAGTAATCCAGGCAAGCGAATCAACAACAATATTTCCAAAAAAAAATATTTTCCAAAAAAAAAAGTTCAACAATATTTTTAGAAATGAACTAATTTTTGCAAAAGCAAACTGAATCTCACGCACCCTAAGTAATATAAAAACAAGATTCCAACCTTGTTTGAACTGCTTTTTGAATTTTTTTAGGAAAAATTTACTGTCTAGTGGGCCGATAAAAAATAAGTAGACAATAATTCAAAAATTAAATTGTGTCATAATAGAAAAAAAATACAGATTCTGACCTGGCTCGGCTCAATGCTCCTTCTCGTTCAAAAATATACGCTACCAAGTTTTCAGCACCTTTGCCCAGAAAACTTCTAATTATCAATCAAGTTGACAATTAATCACTAATTTAGTTCGGGAATTGAAAACATAGCCAACAAAACCAACAAAGAGTTCGAAAATAGTCAATGAATGCAAGGAAAGAAAAATTAACACAGAGGCGAAGTTGCAATTCGCATACACAAGCAAAAACATAACCGATAACGCTACTGGGAAAAACTGAATGATTAAAATTTTGAGTCTACATAATTGCTAAGTGACGCAAGCCAATTGTGACGCATTAGCAGTACCAGTCAATTCGAAAAAAAAAGAAATTTAACAACTAACATGCCTCAATTTATAAAGCGGACAAATTTAACTAGTACAAAAAAGTTCAGTAAAAATATCCGACCCTGCACAAGTTCGAACCCTCTTATTTTGTTGCTAGTCTCTTTCCCTACCTCTACGCTACAGATCCATGATACCTTGAAGCTAAAATGCTATTTGAAATAAAATAGTCCATGTTAATGTCCTTAGCATTGGCTGTAGTTAATAGCTGGATCAAAACGAACACTTTCAAAATGAACCCATTTTGTCGCAACAATTGCATCGCAACAATATTTGCGACTTAGGTTGGAAAAAAAGAGTTCATACTATAACACAAGCTATGTTTGTGTAAAAACACTGACTTGATAAAAATACTGAAATTCATAGAAAAAAAATAAGCTCTGCGAATTTCAAGAACCATTTATGATTGACACTTTTTCATAAAACTAACCAAATTTGATAAAAATGGGTCAATAGGTAAAATTTATATTCCGCTGGGAAATCAGAAAATTAAAATCCACATTCGAAACAAGAAATCGATCATGTTTTTTGAGACAATTACACTGCTGCTGATCGCTAGTAGAGGTTGAGTCCCCCTTTAACAAAAGAAATGATCTGAGCTTGAAAATGAACCTCAATATGATTTAAAGTCAAACCTCGAAAAATTTCATTCATTTATATGAGTCTTTACTGCGTTCAATTCCTCTTCAAAAATTGACTCGTTCCCAAATGTAAATAAATTAAATTCACAATACAAACTAAAATTTATTATTTGCCAAATTTGAGTCCGATTATAATCATCAATAAGTTTTAGCATGCATTTTCAGCTTGGTCTGCGCTGACTCTCCTAGGAACTGCCAAGTAGCTGGTGGTCAGGGAGGTTCTCGTTGTTTCCTGCAAGTATACACCTCCATTCGGATTTCCGAGCCGATTCGAAGAATCTCTTGGTGTACCTGTGCATCCTGGTTGCTGTCTTCTTGTATTCTGGCTCATATTCCTCACATTTCGCGCCCTTTCATTTCTAATAGCCCCTGGACATAGCCACATTTTTACTAAAGTTGCAGACGCGCTTCTGAAGCTTCGGTTGTATGTCAGAAAAAGCGGGAAATTAGACAGGGAAATTGTGAATATCAGGTAGGTCGTCAGTTTGTACACAATCGCAGGGGGGTTTTTGTATATAAAATCAACAGACATGTAAGGAACCCAGGTGAGAATGAAGATGACAGTGATAGTTAGGAACAGATTGTAGGCTCGTTTGATCACGTTTCGTTCCTCTTGTTCCTTCGCGTGAGATACATGTCGTCTGCTACAAGTGGACTCGGGGGTAACCGAGAAACGTTCAACAGAGTTGGATGCAATCATTTTGTAATTAGTTCCAGGTACCGAGGCTGCGCTTTCCTAAACAAAAAAGAAATTAATTATCGATGCTTGAGAACATAAACATGTCGAACTCGCTAATTCAGTAAATACAAGTTATCAGAACTCTTTCCGTTTAGATGCTTTTCTTCATTAATTCCATTCTTAATTTGTTAAGTTGAAGCGACAGATGTCCCAAACAGTGAAAAATGAGGCCTAAAACAATAATGACTTGACTTGACTAACGTTTGATTCCCTATGTTTGGTCAACGATGCCGTCTGTGCCATCAAGTTTTGCGCATTACCCTGACTAGCAGATGCACCTCCATGCTTAGCGCGACACAACGCCACAATAATCGCCGCATAACAGGTGACCATAATCACCAAAGGTATGACTGCATTGATCACAAAATTACACAGAGTGAATTGCAGAGAGGGTGAGTATATGAAACACAGGAGTTGTCCGTCGAAGTTGGGCGCGTTGAAGTAGATTGCAGAAGCAACGGGAAAGAAGGAGGAATAGAGGACGACGAAGAGCGAGAAGAGCAAGTATGTCTTCTTGGTCAGCGTTGACATCAAGTAGAGGTATCTTAGATAGTTACACGTTACAGAATGCACTTTCATTTTGTTCGCAGAAAACGGAACACGCTTTAAAACTTTTTCTCAACACATCACGTCTCAGGTTGAAGTTCAAAACAAGTTGACAACAAACAACGGATTTAATCCTTTTACTCCGTTATATCTAATATTGATTGAATTTACATTTTTGTCAAAAAATGAAATATGAGTACTTAAAAAATCTTAATTGACTGGTTCAATATCTATAGTTTGTATTCACGAAAGCATCAAAAAAGTTCGCTCAGCTTAGAAAACGAACTTGAGTTCATAAAAAAGATCGACTTCACTTTTTATTACCAACGCTCCGTTCATCTTGTCTCAATTTATGACATAAACCTTTCGCTCAAAGCATGAAGATTTAATTTATATTAGCCTAGCTTCGAAACTTATATTTGCCTAGCAATTTTCATTAGTGGGATTATAGCGATTCAGAAATAGGGAACAAGGGCATATTAACCTCAGAGTTTAGGAGGCTTTCAATTAATCAGTACTTTCCATTCTGCTTAGAGAAACCTTTTTCAATATTCTAATTTTCATTTAAATGACATTGCACGGCGAACTTTTGAATTTTTTCAAGGTAATTTAGCAATTTCTGTAACTTCCCTGATCAACTACCAAATTTGGCATTGAAATTCTCAAATTATCGATAACAAAAAAGTTTTCTTATGAGTTTAAGAGTAAAATCCAATTGTAACAAGCTAGGCTGGGTTTGATTCACAGCTAGACAATCCTCAAAATTTTAAAATAATTCCTTGTAGTTGAAGAACATAATTTTAGCTTTTAATCTAATTAGCCACATTTCGCAAACAAGATTGTTACGATCGGTCAAGTGTATGAGCATATAAGATTTTTAGTTGAAAAACTCTACTTATACCTAATTTTGACTCGTCAAACAAAAATTCCTTTGAGAATCAGACGGAAACGTGATTACTAATGCTAACGTTCTCAGAAGACACATCCTTAGCCCCGCCTCTTTAAACAGAAAAACTATCAGTCCATTCGATGTTACACAAAAGAAAAACAAAACAAACCCCTCCTATTGAAACTCCTACAAACTCTCCTTTCAAAATTAAACGCCGAGCAGCAATTCCATTTTGGTTACCTGAAAGCGTACTTCGAGCTCCACCAAAAAAAAAGAATTCGAAAAATCAGCTTTAATACAAATCAAATGAAAAACCGCCTATACGCATAGCTAACAGAACATTAACACAAAGGCGAAGATGCACTTCGCATACACAAGCAAAGATACGACCGATAACGCTACTGGGAAAACCAAGAAATTTTGTAGACTCAAAGTTTTACTCAGTCCGTCAGAAGTGACGCACGCCAATTATGAGTCTACATAATTTCAAAGTGACGCAAGCCAATTATGACGCATAAGAAGTACCAATCAATTTGAAAAAAAAAAAAGAAATTTACCAACCAACATGCCTCAATTTATAGAGCGGACAAATTTAAATATTATCAAAAAGTTCAGTAAAAATATCCGACCCTGCACAAGTTCGAACCCTCTTATGTTGTTGCGCGTCTCCTTCCCTACCTCTACGCTACAAATCCATGATATCTTGAAGCTCAAGTGCTATTTGTAATATAATAGTCTGTGTTAATATCCTTAGCATTGGCTGTACTTAATAGCTGATTGTTGATCAAAATGAACACTTTCAAAATGAACTTAATATTTGCGACTTAAGTTGGAAAAAAGACAGTTCATACTATCACACAAGCTTTGCATGTGTAAAAAAGGACCAGTGAGCTCGAGGAAATTTGCCTTAGTAATTTGCCTTAGAATTTCAATTTGAATTGCAGTAATCAATTTACCAATCGCAAAAATCAAATTTAAAAGTTTTCCGCAAAAAATACAGGATCTAAACAAGTGATACATCAATCACATCGTCCATAGACACGAAATTTTGATTTTAATTATCAAGAAATCAGCCAATAGATAATAACAGAGTTCAGTATTCTTTTACTGCAATGAAACAGTCGACCAACAAATTAAACACTGAGTGATGATGAATTTCGCAAAAAGCAAAGAAAACTACCAAAACGAGCTCAGAAAATGCCCTAAAACATTAAATAGAGAAAGCCTCGGATACTACGGGATTCGAATCAAGACCGCCAAACTAGGAGTCTCAGACCTTACAACATAGGCAAAACTTCGCTTCGCAAACAGTAACGAGAAACGAAAAAAAGAGCTCTATAAAGTGCAATAAAGAAATAGAAATAAGCCTCGAATTAGTAAAAACTCGGCAAAATATTAGATTCGAGACTGCGACCTAGAAATTAAGAGTCTCAAACACTACACACTCAGCCACGGATGCTTTATAGGTCAAAACACTAGACACAAATCAAGCAGAGAGCAGATTCATTTCAATTGCCAATGCTACAGTGAAATTTTCATACGAATGAACACTATTAATGACCACTTTTTTCGAGTTAGGTTAGAAAAATAGAAGGTTCGTAATTATCGCTAGTGTAATCACTTACCCATGGCGGCTTGATCTGGATTTTCACGCTTACTGTATTTTCAGTTTTGAGGGAGCGCATTAAAGTTTGGTTGGAAAAAAAAGACTGATCGTATACCACTCGCTTGTGTAAAGAACTCATGAATTTCACATGAGAGGTTTAAGCAAACCATAATTTAAAATTATGTTTATGGGTTGTTTAAACAAGCGAGCGTTATCACTTTGGACATGAAGCTAGACTCCTTCGCAATACGACACTACCTACCCTTATGTTAACATATTTATATTTAAAATGTAATTAAAAACTAGAGATTTGAAAATTGATATCACGGGCGACATAGAAAACGCCTATATCAACTATTTGAAGTGGCAAAAAACTTCGTAATTTAAGTTTTTTTCATATTGAAAACTTGTTTCTCAGAAAAGCAATAGCATTTTTACGCATGACATCCATGAAATAATAGTGAGAAAAACGGAATTCGATGGAATCCTCCCAGCTTGCTTTTAGGTCAATACAATAGGTTAAATAAAAGTGATGGTTAAGTTGTTCTATACCTTTTTTGTTCACAGCCGTTTGTTTCTGCCTTGTTTAAGGAACGAATGTTTCAGCCTCAACTTGTGTTGGTGATCTCAATTCCTAGTTATCTCAGATCGTGTCTGTGAACTGATGTCCTTTTGACATTGATTCCAAAACTTTGACAATTATTTTGTTACTCGGGGAGTTTTTTACGCAGTTAGCTTAGTACTTCATTAAGCGTTTTCAAGGTTGACAATATGGAAAATAATAACTTTAAGAAAATGGCGATGACCTATATAAGAGCATTTACTACGTTCACGACTCTTAAGTAGCAAACTGACGGTTGGAAAAGAGAAATGCAAGCAAAGAAGCAAAAAAACTGACTTGTTTTTTGAAAAAACTTCAATTTTCGAAAATTAAAGAAAAAAATAAACACTTAAAGCTCTTTAAAATTCACGAATGGTGCTTCATCTCAATTGTGGTTGTTGCTGTTTTGATAAAAATAACGTTATTTGAGAAAACTGTATCAACAAGTAAAGTAATCATTTCGCTGAAAAATCTGATAACTAAATTCCGTTTTCGAAATTAGTAGTCGATCACGTTTTTCATGACGTTTACATTTTCGCTGTTCAATAAAGGAGTTTATCTTCCTTTAAACAAGGAAAAAGCACTGAGCTTAAAAAAAATCACAAGTCAAACAGCGAAAAATCAAAACAGCGTGAACTGATCTTTCCTAAAAAAAAACCAAAAAAAATCACTTAGACCTACATAAGAGTACTCACTACATTCATTACTCTTTAAAAACTAATATCTCACATTGGCTTTAAAGAATTGCCTTTAGTGGTGGAGCAATTAAGATACAATTTTCCTCCATTTAGAAAAATTGACTGGCATTGGAAATTGACTATTTGACCTGAATTATACGTGCATTCTGTAAATAACTATACCTGATTGGCGTGACCAGCGCACAAAACCGGTCTACTGCTACTGTCATTAGCAATGTATTGGCCATATTCTGTACAAGTTGCAAAACCATTCCCTGAATTCCACAGAAAGATCGACCAAACTGCCATTTATGGTCAAGTGTCACTGTCACTGACATGGGAATGAGAAGAATAAAGCCACTTACGAAGTCAATGATACTTAGCCATGTCATTATGTAACCAGTTGGGTTTTTGAAATTAGATCGAATTTGCCTGGGCGAGAAGAGAAAAATGATCAAGCAGAAGGAACTGAATAGAATAACAGTGATTGTAATCACAATGCAGAGAGTGGTCTCGAAAAGAGAACTCTGGTCTTCCCTTTCAAAATCTTCATCGAAAGTTGAGTTTTCATCTAAGAAAAGGTCAACAGATGAACCGTTCATTCTGATTTCTAGATTTGAAGATTAACTGCTATGAAGATAAATTTATGCCAATATAATAAAGAGATAACTACTTTCCTGGCAACCGTTGAAAAGAAAAGTAAAACGAGTCTCATAAAATATCACTTTCATAAGTCAGTTGAATATTTTCCTCCAATAGAAAGGAGCAAAAAAACGTACCGTCTTCACATAATTAAAGAGGCGATGGGCGAATTTACGCAAAGCATATTGGAGGAAAATTATGTTTATTTCCATTTACTTGCGTGGAATTCAACATTGCATCACTCAAAAAAATGAATATATATATTTTTCATCTTAAATAATCAGGATCTTGACCACTACAAACAAATTTTAAAAAGTTCGAAAGCTGCTAGAACAGTGGCGGTTTTAGAGGGGGGGCTGGGGGGGCTCGAGCCCCCCCTTACGGATTTTAACAGTGAAAACGAGCAAAGGGGGGACCCTTTGAGGTTTTTAATAAAAATTATACCAGATATCGGTATTGCTTCGTCACATTCTCTTACCAAGGAGGAGAAATACTTTCTTTTAACTGACGATTTACTTCCTCCAGCCAACTTTCAATAGCCATACGAAGAGCGCAAAGATGGTGAGCGATTAGTTAAACGTTTTCTGAGCAAAGATCATCTGACTAAGCACCCATATCTTGCATATTCGATTGAAAAGAAAGGTCTTTTTTGCAAAGTGTGTGTATTATTTGGGGATATTACGGCAGCACAGAAAACTGGTTCGAGAGACATATTCTTTTTCACGAGGGCTTTTACGAAGTATGCAAGAATGTTCCGAGGAGGCTTTGCTCCGCATCTTTGCGACTATACCAGTGTCAACGGCTACTGCGGAGCGAAGTTTCTCTGCCCTGAAGTTACTCAAAAGCTACCTTCGTGCAACGATGTCAGAGCAGCGAATAAGTGCGCTAGCACTTTGCTATATACATAGTGACTTGGATGTGAAAACTGAATCTATAATTGATCGTTTTGCTAGAAAGTGAGCCCCTTCTTTGAAAAAATCCTAAAACCGCCACTGTGCTAGAAGCAAGCTTTTTGTTGTGGCCAACACTTAAAGCTAAATGGACTTTTTTTATTATCATCGTGGCATCATAACCATTAGCGTATATTTCTGATTTGCATTAGTTTAATATGTACTACTCACTCACCAATTACACCAACTACTCACTCACAAAATCCAATTACAGAATATTGCCAGCCAATCGACTGTTGGAAAATAGTCATGAACGCAATGAACACAAAAAAATATATTTTTTGAAAAAACTTCAATTTCCGAATTTCAACAAAAATCTATAGGCCCCTTAAGCTCTTTGAATTTCAAGAACAATTTTTGATTAGTGCTTCTTTAAAAAATACCCTATTTGAAAAAAATTGGATTAATAGGTATATTTTTAATTCCGCTGGGAAATCCGAACATTAAAATCCACTTTCGAAACTAGAAGCAGAACACGTTTTTCGTGCCATTTACACTTTTGCCATAGTGAAGTTTGCCTGGAAATGAACTAAAATTAAACAGAAATTATAATTGAGCGTGAATTTTTTCCTGAAAGAAATCACGAAGATCTATAAAAAAGTCTTAGCTACGTTCAATCCTCTTAAAAACTGGGGGAAATTTTATTATGTATTGCGCCTCTCAACTTTTATAAATGTATTTCAGCGTCATTTTTACTTAGAAAAAGGAAAGTGTTTTGAGTTTGTCCTTAAATTGAACTTTATGAGTTTCGCCTTATATTGAACTTCGAATGATGACTGCCTATTTCTGAATTTGTGCGATATATATATCATTGTAAGTTGATTCATGAAACCAAATGAGTTTTTGTTAAAATTGGCACAATTTAAGAAAACCAGGTTAACATGTTTTAACTGATACAAAAAATCTCAACTCCAGCATATATATATATATATATATATATATATATATATATATATATATATATATATATATAATATAAAATATAAAATAATATAAATATATAAATAATAAAATTTTCAAATGCGGCTGACTACAAACGATAGCATCACTTCTTATAACCAAATAAGAGGCCGAACTTATTTAAAAAAATTTCAGTCTATTTTCAATCAACGAAGTGTATCGATCTTAAACAATCAAAATGAATTTCAAGACATCGCCTTTTGGTTATGACGCTGAAACAACTGTCGGATGCTAGCTAACAATTTCTATCTCTTTTGGCCAGCTCACCGGAAAGACTTCATGAATAACTTCAGTGTATTATTGCGAACAGAAAATGGCATCAAAATCAGCCAAATAGACTGCGTATCATTTAATAGACGTCATATTGACAAAGTTTAAAACGTTGGGAAGCTGAACGAAGAATCATTTCCAAAACATCCAAAAACCACTACAGTTGAATTTACTGAATGAAAAAAACTTGGTCCGATAAGCTTTCAATAACTTCAGCTGACTGCTCCAATAAATTCAATATAATTCATATCAACTCGTCTCAATAATCAGCTGGCGAGTTAATAAGCACTTTGGTGTCGACAAAACTGTTGCTCCTAATTGCCAATTTTACTGTCTGACGTCGATTCGACTATGAAACAACGATAGCAACCGAAGCGTTCTGGGATTTTACGAGGGCACAGATTTACAAAAAACGGCAATTTTTTTCGAGGCTGACCGAGTTAATTTACGAGTACAGGTCATTGAATTACGAAAAGCAAGACCCTATATCAAGTTGAGACCAAAATTTCCTCAACAGCTATGCTAAAAAAAGGTGAGAAATCATACAAAATCAAATGATCAAATTAGATAAGGTGAATCGAATGAATACGAAGCATCGTAATTACTAGGTACTTAAATAGGGTAAATTGGAAAATTCAATTACAGGAAATGAATCCCGCACAGAGATTTTTTACTTAAAAGATGGCGTTTGAATAAAAATTTTAGTTACTGAGGAATTAAACGGTGTCAAAAATCCAATCAACCAACAACGCAGCAATTTCAAGTCAAATAAGAATGCAGCAACCAAAAATCTAGCAAAATTGCCCAATTAAGGCATTCAGGAGTACTTTACTGTGTTCACATTGGCATTAACTACACAATAACAACGCTGCTAACTAAAAACAGTACATGTGACTTGGACAGGTATTTACGGTTGCCAGTCCAGCATGATTGTCAATCAGACTTATAATTGAACCGTTGTTATAAACTCGATTAGATAGAGTATCGTTAAGATTAAATCCAAAATTTTAATAAAATCGGAATCACTCAGTACTGCTAAAGAGTTTGAACGATAGATGGCGAAAAGATAAAAACTATCAGAATAGAAAGCATTTTTTATTATTTATCATGATGCAGATAATGCAGAATTTTTTCATGGATAATTTTTTTTGAGAAATCTGATTATATTGAAAGCCGCTAAGCCAAAATTTTTCATATCTGTCTTTTTTTTTCAAAAAACGATAATAAGAAAAATGAAAGTTACATTTAAAAAGATACAAAGCGGTATTGAAAGTTCAATTTTAAAAAAACGATAATAAGAAAAATGAAAGTTACCTTTACAAAGATTCAAAGCGGTATTGAAGCCGACGATTTTCGAGCAGACACCCGTTGAGCCAAAATAAATGATTTAATAATAATAAAAAACGTTTTGAGTCTCAAAATCTTAAATTACACCCTTCAATAATCACAAGCGTAGAAAAATCGTTTCGCTTGTCCAACGATCATATGATTCCACTCAATCGATTAAGTATAAACCAAATATAGCCAACAGACAGTTATGAACAAAAGGAAACAAAAAATAATGACTTGTTTCTAGAAACAATTTCAATTTACTAATTTCAAAGAAAAATATTGGCCTTAAAGCTCTTTGACTATTTGTGATTGACCGTTTTTACGAATGAATATCCCATTTTAGAAAAATGGATCAATGGATAAAATGTTTCTTCCGCTAAGAAACTGAAAAATAAACTCCACTATCGAAACTAGAGTAGATCACGTTTTTGGCGACCTTACTACTTTTGCTGTTCGATACTATAGCTTACCTTCCTTTGAACAAGGGAAATGAAATGGAGTTTTTGTAGCTGTAGTTTTTCAATTTTGTCAAGTTATTTTTCCAACTAATTTTTTCCAACATAATTTTCAGAAGCATTTTTGACTTTTGTGGTTTTTTCATTCACTTTGTTTTTTCTTTGCATCTTTGCGTCTTTGTGTATTTTTCTTTGCGTCTCTGTGTAAATTTTTTTTGTAAGTTTTTTTTTCAGGAAAAATCTTGATCGCTAAAACTCGATGTTGCGGTTTCACTAACGATTTTTTTTCATCGAATTTTAGCGAACAAATTTCAAGATTTTTCCAGAAAAACAAAACAAATTAAAAACAGAGGCGAAGCGGAGTTTCGCAACACTTGCGATGCAAAAAAAAACACATAGTGAATGAAAAAATGGACAAAATGAAAAATACTTCTGAAAATTATGTTGGAAATAATTACTTGGAAAAATTACTTGACAAAAGTTGAAAAATTACAGCTACAAAAACTTCATACTTGTATTGGACAAAGTTCATAAACAGGCCTTAATAAATAGGAATCCTTTACCGAGCGGCAACAAAGTTGACAAAAATTGGGTCGAAACCTGTTTAGCCGAAAACAAAACTGTTGTCATAAAAAATTTCATAAAAATTAAAAATAGTTACGACCCATCCGAACTGAAACACATAATGCAAAACAGATATATATTTTGATATATATATATATATCTCGAAATAACGCAAAATAATTTGACTAAGTCAATACTTCATTAACTGAAATTTTTTCATTATAAAAAGAAAGAAAAAATTTTAAAAACTCAAAACCAGGCATGGTAAATTTACAAATTTGTGAAGTTCCGGTTATAAAAATTGTTTAAACTGAAACAAAACCCATGCTTTAAAAAAAAGCAATATTAAAACCCTGCCAAATAAAAAATCGATGACGTTTAAAAGACCAGAAAAAGAACCAACAGGAACTAGACGAAAACCACGAACACAAAATGTAAAATTAAAAAAAAAATTGAAAAGATAATCACCACCTGAAACGGGTTTTAACTTATTACTACTTAACTTCTTCTTGCGGAAGATACTACTTAGAAGTGCCGATCTTGTGGACAAAGTTGTTTACGGGAAAAAAAACTAGTACCCGATTACAATACCCTTGCTCATCGCAAGGGTAAAGACCTGTATAAGACCATTCACTACTATCATGGCTCAAAACTTCTTACTGCGTAAACCAAAATATTTAAGAAAACAAAAACCACAAGTATACCAGACCTGAGTAAAACTAACATAAACACAAAGGCGAAGCAGAGCTCCGCAACACTTGCAATGATTAGAAAAAGATATGAAAGTCGGACTTTTTTGAAAAGTAAAGCTGAAAAATCACTAGAAAAGATAAATTGAAAAAATGACAATCAGGCGGCAACTAAGGCAAACAATTCTGGTTGAACACCAAAAGAAAATTTGAGCTTAAAATTTTTTAATGGTCTCAACTCATACCCTTAGTGGTTTACGGCATTAAAATACGACATTAGTCGCCTATGTAGGGGAGAAACTACATTCTTTAAAGAGAACTGAATACCAGATTTGGCTGTGTAGTTTTCAAGAAATGAACCATACCTGCTTTTCTACACAAAAAATTAGGGTGTAACCATCTGTGCAGGGAAGATCTTTACATCATATTCTTCGAACTGAATCATTAACCTCAGAATTTGCGGGTAGTGTTTGAGAAAAAAAAGAAAATACCAAAAAACGATCGAAATCTCAAAAACTTGACGAGCAATATGGAGAAGCTTCTTTGGTTGAAAAAACGCATATTTCAGAAAATGATTCAGGGATTCGGAATTGATAAGACTTGCTAATCGCAAGCACAATAATCGCACACGTAATAGATCATTGCCCACGTAATAATTCAGTGAACGGAGCAGACAGAAAATTAAGAAAAAAACGTTTGTAGTGAAAAATTTTCAAATAAATAAGACTTCATTAAAAAATCATGAAACTCAATTACCTCCACCAATGGGTCTTTAAAATGGAATAAAGGAATTTAGAAGGAATTAAGGAATTTAGAAGAAAACTGAATCTTCAAAAAGAGTCCTTGCTTTGGGATCTAAGCCGACAAAAACAAACATTAATAGACGGACGATAGTCTGAACAAGCAGAAAGATTTTAGTTTTTAAAAAACGGCAGCAGGTCGGATTAGCACCAAAGACCTCTGTCGTCTCAACTAGCTGTGTTGCCTCTAAGGCAGATGCTCTGGGTGAAGCAAGATGAAACAGATACGAAATCTTAATAGTATTCTTTACAGAAAAAAGTCTTGTACAGAGTTGTTTGCCAGAAAAAAGTCTGGTAGTATGTTGCAATATCCTCGCTTGTCTCAAGAGTAACTAGTGACTTTAGCATAACGCATAACTGTGTACAGTTGTTTTCAAAATTAAAACAAAAAAACTTATCTTTCTGCATAGTGTACTCCTGCCCTAAGATAACACCTAGCTGCCCGCTTTAATAGCTCAGAACAAATAAAGCAAAACAGTCAAACCGGTATTTCTCGACACCGAGAAAACTTTTGTGAAAATTATAAATGTCGCTTCAATCACGACTAAAAATGCTGTAAAATGATATATCACTCAGCCCATAGTGATGATTAATTGTGATATCTGGTTTTAGTGTGAAAAAGTAAAACACACACGAAGACAAACTTCCTCCCCACTTTAATTGCTTGGAACATTAACACTCAAGAAAATAGCCCACAAACAGTTGGAAAAGAGTCAATCAACGCTATGAAACTACACATCAACAACAACAATTTATGATTAACACGGTTTTTATATAAAAAAAAAACTAACAGATTTGAGAAAAATGGATCAATGGACTATTTATTTTATTTCGTTGAGTCTCGAAATTAAATTCCACATTCGAAACTACAAATCGATCACGTCTTTTCGCGTCATTTCCTTTTTGGCAACTGGAGAGCGAAATTAACCTACCACTAAACAAATGAACTTGAATTGAACTCAAAATGAGCACATATACCGAAGTGCATTCTTATACGCATTAATATGAACGCACTTCTGTAGTTAAAAGAGCATTTCAAGACTTTGTTTTCCTGGAAAATAGTCACCAAGACCTTTACAACAGTATTCACAACTCTCATCAGCTCGTAACAATCCTCTTTTCAATCTCTTAAAAGAAATCATATTTATATTCAAATCAGAGACGGTTAAAATAAAAAGAATCTAAAAAGATTGGAAAACAATTGAAAAACTTTACCCAGAAAAACTTCATATAGTTAAATTTAACTGAAAACTCGAACAAAGTGTACCCTTGAACGTAAATCCAAAACTTTCTTTAAATTGGAACCATTTTGAAATACGAGAAAAGTTCACTGGTAGCAACTGAAAGAGAAGAAATCGCCGTATTGGAATGTCATTTTTAATTTATGGTGCAGATATTTTAGTCTCCAGATATATGACAATGCTTTCCTTTGCTTTTACAAATTGCGAGTTAAAATTAAAAACAGAAACTGAAAAATTATTGAAAAAGTACTTCAACCAAAAAAATGAAACAAAGTATTGAAAATAAACTCAGAGGCGAAGCAGAGCTTCGCAACACTTGCGATACCAAAAATAGTGTTCTAAGATAGTGAATGGAAAAAAGACGAATTTTTTCTGATGATCATGAGGATAAATAATTTGAAAAAACCGAAAAACACTACACGTACCAGAAACTTCATGTTTGCATTAGAGATTTTCATTGCCTTAAAAAGCAATGAAAATCATATACCGACAAAACCTACTGATTAAAACCTATTGAACAAAACCTACTGAAACAAACAATCGAATTAGAACATAATATGCCCTCGACATTACGCAATATAATTTGACTAAACTGATATAGCATAAACCGAAAATGCTCAATTCAAAAATAAAATTGTTAAAATCAGACTAGGTAAATGTGCATTTTACTTCAAATTATATTTTAAAAAATATGAAATAAAACAAAATTCATGCTTTATAAAGTAAACCAAAAAACCGTAGCAGATAAAAATGGCATTGAAGTTGAACGGAAAACGAACCGACGGAATCCAGGACGAAAATCACAAATCCGACAAAATCAACATTTTTTCGAGAAAATTATTTGAAAAAAATTATTACTTACACCTTATTACTCACTAAATGAGGAAGTGTGACCAATGAGAAAAATAGTAGAAAACCGATTGGAATACCCTTGATAATGACATAGGTTAAAACATTGCATTATTAGATAGTGAACAGAAAAAGAAGA